GTGCTGGCCGAAGACGTTTCCGTGGTCATGTGGCCGGCATGATTAAACACCAAGGCGCACGGAATGCTGTTACCTTCCCACCGAAGTGGTCCCTATTTATCTACTTGCAATTTCTTGCTTTCGAACTGCTAGGTTGGCAGGAGCTGGAACTAGAGACGGGAGCTCACTCCGTCACGCGGCACACTCAGGTCTTGAACTGCTGAACTACCAACCTTCCACAGCCTGCAGTTCAGCGTCTTAACCACTTGAGCCACCGCAGCTCCTAATTTACTGGTACCCTGTGTGTATGTGCCCGAGTGTGTGTGTGTGTGTGTGTGTGTGAAGTGCCATCAAGTTGCAATCAACTTACAGGGACCTCATAGGGCTTTCGAGGCAAAGGAACAAGCAGAGGTGGTTTCCCGTTGCCTTCCTCTGCGGAGCCTTCCTTGGTGGTCCCCCATCCAAGTACCAGCCCTGCTTAGCTTCCGAGATCGGGCTATACCACACCATTCCACATCTCCCTGGTACCCTAACCCCCAATTAAATCTGCATGCTCACTCAGTCGATCCTTGGAGAACCTCTCTGTGATGGACCAATACAACCACCAGGGACCACAACTATTAGGGCAGAGATTGGCATACCCGGGTACACAGCCTACCCTGTGATTCAGAATGGAATTGTGATAGTTATAGTGTAAAAAAGGTAAAGGTTCCCTTGCTCGAAAGCCAGTCGAGTCCGACTCTAGGGTTGCGGTGCTCATCTCCGTTCCCGAGCCGAAGAGCCAGCACTGTCCGAAGACGTTTCCGTGGTCATGTGGCCGGCGTGACTAAACACCAAGGCGCACGGAACGCTGTGACCTTCCCACCGAAGCGGTACCTATTTATCTCCTTGCAATTTCTTGCTTTCAAACTGCTAGGTTGGCAGGAGCTGGAACGAGAGACGGGAGCTCACTCCGTCGTGCGGCACACTCGGGTCCCGAACTGCCGAACTACCGACCTTCCACAGCCTGCAGTTCAGCGTCTCAACCACTTGAGCCACCGCAGCTCCAGTTATAGTGTAACCCCCACTTAAAAAAAACCCCTCTTATCTATCTCTGCAAACAGTCACCCACTTTACCCCAAGATTTCCAAAGAACTCCTTGGAAGAGGAGAAAGTGGTCAGCTGCGTGGCAGATCCCACCATGACTCGAGGAACGGCCGAGATCGCCCCGCGCCAGAGTCCCGCCATGCCGTGCTCTCTGTGGATAATCACCAGAGCATGGAGCATCCCCTAGGTCCAAAAGGAAAAAAAGAGCATTGATAACATTTCCATTCATTACTGGCACTCAACACTGCCTTCATTTCTAGATCACTCGGTGATCTCCACCGGGTAGGGCCATATCGCCTTGATAGGTTGGCCATGTGTCACGCTCAACCGATCGTCAACGTGAGAGAGCCAGGAGGGTGCAGTGGGTAGCGAGGCAGGCTAGGACCTTGGGCGATCTGAGTTTGAATCTCGACTTCTACCACGGAAGCTTGCTGGGTGGCCGGTGGCCCCGCCCAAACTCTCAGCTGGGCCTACCTCACAGGGGGGGTTGTTGTGAGAGAACACGGTGTACTAAAAGCCCCTTTGAGTCCCAAGTGGGGACAGAAGCGGGATATAAATAAAGAAAGAAATGCAAATGCATGTCCAAGGTTCACAAAACGCGTACTGAGGACGGAGGCCGTGGGTAGGATCAGATATGCAGACCTGTTCCGCTAACGGGAGCTCTTTGCAAGAGGCTCCGCGAAGCCTGTATGGAACTTGTCAGTGTGCCCTCTAAGCTGAGTGGGTGTGAGCTAGCTCACAGTTTTTTACCCTCTGGCTCACCCATTTTCGTCTCAGCTCAGGAAGGGATGGCTCCAGAGCAAACTAATTGATGCAGTAGCCAAATCGCTTGCTCACAACTTTAATGCCAGCAGCTCACAAAGTAGAATTTTTGCTCACAGGACTCCGCAGCTTAGAGGGAGCACTGGTTATGACTGCCTGGTCGGGGGAAATGGGGAGAACAACAGCAGCATCCTTTCCAGCCCTCCCTCTTTGGAGACTTCACCAAAGAACTCACCGTCTGCTTCTTGGGATGACCCCCTAGAGAGGCCTGGATGCTGGGCAACTGTGCGAGTCGTCAACATAATACCGGTTGCCAGCACGCCGCTTCCCTGGGAGAACCGGCCCCTCGGTACAAGCCTGCAGCTATGGGCCACTCATTCTTAAAGGGCTAGCGTGCCGGGTAAGCACAGAGAACGGAGTGCGGCCGACATACCTCATGCTGGTATTGATGCCCGACGGCGATCTCAGCTGCTGATTGCGCCTGGATGTGGGTCTTGACCTTGGGGGGAAGAGTGCAGACGCGTTACTTTCATGGAGCACGGATTCAAACAAGCGCGTTGGTTGCCTCCATCACCGCCATTAGGCAGCAATGACGCCCTTTTCTTTAGAAATCTTAAGGCCCGAATGTGCTCCCCCAGGTGCATCTTTCTGGTGTTAACCAGGGATAGATGGTCTCATTCCATCACGATAGATCCAGGTGGGTCAGCCGTGTTGGTCTGAAGCCGTAGAACAAATTTAGAGTCCAGTCAGGCACCTTTGAGACCAACAAATAAAACTTTGTTGGTCTTAAAGGTGCCTGACTGGACTCTAAATGTGTTCGTTCCATCAAGGTCGCCTTAAACCTCAGGAAATGTGGAGCCAGGTCACCCCGTGGGGTTTTCAAGAGGAGATGTTCAGAGGTGTGGTTTGCCGTTGCCCACCTCTGCACAGCGACCCAGAACGTCCTTGGTGGTCTCCCATCCAAGTATTAATCAGGGCTGACCCTCACTTTGGTGTAGTGGTTAAGTGCGCGGACTCTAATCTGGGAGAACCGGTTTGATTCCCCACTCCTCCACTTGCACCTGGCTGAAGTGACCTTGGGCAAGCCATAACTCTGGCACAGCTGTTCTTGAAAAAGAGCAGTTTCTGTCAAGAGTTCTCTCAGCCCCACCTGCCTCACAGGGTGTCTGGTGTGGGGAGGGGAAGGGAGTTTGTCAGCCACTCTGAGACACCTTTGGGTAGTGAAGGGCGGGGTATAAATCCAATCTCTTCTCTTCTTCTTCTTCACTTACAAGATCAGGTTAGCCTGGCCCATCCAGGTCAGGGCTGGATGGACCACAAGGACATGTTAACATACAACCCTTTGCCCACAGATCATGGTGCATGAATTTTAAAGACTTGCTTCTCAGTGCTGGCTGGAGAAAGAAAGGGCAGGTTCCTATGGCATGTGACACGCTCCTTATTATCTTTAAAAAATCAGCCCATCAACAATGGAACTACCCTTTGCGATTACGATGATGCAACCGATTGTGCGGGTTGCAAAATATGGAAACAAAAAAGGTCATGCACAGACTGGTACCAACCTGAAAGACAAAAGAGGACGCTTTTTGCTCAAATGCTGGATTATGGGCAGGGCGGGGAGGAGAGAGGAAGTTCCATTTGGTGAATGTCAACCACTCCCAAAGAAATAGTTCAGTGTCCTTTCACTTTCTTTGGCTCCAGGGCCGGCCCCATCACTAGGCAAAGAAAGGAGCTGCCTAGGTTTGGGGGTCGATACCACACTGTCAGCTCATCTATTCATGAAATGTGATCCAGCACGGAATGGGGATACCCTCAGAGTGTTCCATCTCAGGGACCACAGAGTCTTGGAGGAGGGGCACTCCAGATCAGGGCGGCATCAGCTTTCCAAAGAAATTAAAAGTTCACTATTTGAAAACAGGAAGATGTTTCCGCAAGAGAGGGTCAGGAGCAGGGCTATTTTTGGGCAGGAACGCACAGGAACGGAGTTCCGTCTGGCTCCCGAGTTGGCCACGCCCAGCAGGAACTCATTAGCATAATAGGCCACACCCAACAGCAGAAACTCATTAGGATTGGCTACATTAGGGGTGTGTGGCCTAACAGGCAAAGGAGTTCCTGCTACAAAAAAAAGGCCCTGGGTTTTGACCACAAACAAGGTCACCAGAATAAGAAGCAAAAGGTGGGTGTGGCTGGATAACCACACTTCTGGTAACATGGGGGTGTGGCCTAATATGCCAATACGCTGTGCTGTCAGTGGTGTGGCCTAATATGCTAATGAGTTTCTGGTGTTGGCTGTGGCCTGTTATGCTAATGAGTTCTACAAAAAAAAGCCCTGGTCAGGACGATTTTCAAAAAAGCTTACCAGAAGGTCAGACGTCGACAAGAGGAAATACAACATCCAGTCTCAAGGAAACTCTGTGTTTCGCTTCAAGTATTATTTGGTGAGCAAATGTGGGGAGGTAGTTCGCTCAGAGTGCGGTGGGCATAACACCAAGGTCGTGGGTTGGAGCCCTGTACGGGCCCTTGAATTTTGACTTGATGGCAGAGGCTAGCCTGATCTCATCGGATCTTGGAGGCTTCGCAGGGTCCGTCCTGGTTAGTACTTAGATGAGAGACCACCAGGGCTATTTTTGGGCAGGGACACACAGGAACGGAGTTCCGGCTGGCTTCTGAGTTGGCCACGCCCAGCAGGAACTCATTAGCATAACAGGCCACACCCAACAGCAGAAACTCATTAGGATTGGCTACATTCGGGGTGTGTGGCCTAACATACCTGGGTTTTGACAACAAACAAGGTAGGTCAACAGAATAAGAAGGGAAAGGTGGGTGTGGCTGGATGACCACACTTCTGGTAACATGGGGGTGTGGCCTAATGTGCTAATGAGCGGTGATGTCAGGGTGTGGCCTTATGTGCTGCTGAGTTTTGCTGTTGGGTGTGGCCTATTATGCTAATGAGTTCCTGCTGGGCTTTTTCTACAAAAAGAGCCCTGGCAGACCACCAAGGACATCCAAGGTTGCTATGCCAAGGCAAGCAATGACAAACTACCTCAGTTGTCCCTGGCCTTAGAAGCCATACAGGGCTGCCAGAAGTTGACTGCAACGAGGCGGCATTTTCCACTGAAGGGGGGGGAGTCTCTAGCAAGTGCCAGCAAGTGTGAATTTCCTGCATTGTGCAGGAGGTTGGACTAGATGACCCTGGAGATCCCTTCCAACTCTATGATTCTCTAGACTTGGCAAAAACCATAAAGAAATATGGCCAGGGATGGCTTCACTTTTAATAGGTCTTCATGATGCCATTCATTCCCTCATTCCCCCCATCTGTCATATTCCCAACCATCTAGATTGTGGTCCATTAGCACCTTAGAAACCAACAAGGTTCCTGGGGAAGAAGTTTTCAAGATTCAAAGCTGCCTCCATCAGCGGTGAAGCATCTGGTATCTGACAGGGGGAGATTTGACTCATGAAAGCCCACACTCCGAAAATCTTGTTGGTTGGACCCAAATCTCGCTCTTCTTCTGGAGACCAAGATGGCCGCCCTCGGAAATTCCAAAAGCATGCAGGCCACTGAAATCTGACTCAAGCACAAGCAAGGTGGACCTGCAATCTGAGAGACGTGGGGAGAAGAAATGACGCAGCTGAGGAAAACCTCACCCCCAAACCCAAGCCAAGTGCAGAAATCAAGAGTTCCGCCCACCGATCCCGATCTTTCTCAAGGGGACGGCCCACCCACTTCACTTCCACACCCCGGCCACCTCTTCTCAAGACTCACCAGGTAGATTGGGCTGCTTGTGACGGCCCCTATCACCCCAGCCAACGCCCCTGCCAATGTGCTGCGCAGAGGGCTGAGCTGCCCGTCAGGGCTGCGGGTGTAGCCGGCCGACTCGGCGATGCCGTAGGAGCCCAGGCGGATGCCGTTCATGCTGAACTGGTACACCAAGGCGGGCATCAGGCCCCGCTGGAGCGCCACCAGCCCGTCCACCCGTCCAATGGTATAGAAGGCGTGGAAGACATTGCGGTAATGGCGGGTGTAGGTGCCGGGAGGCCGGAGTTCGCCTTGCAGCTGCATCCGGGTCTTCACCACCTCCAGCGGGTTGGTGAACACACAAGCCCCGCAAGCGGCCACCCCGCTAAGAAGGAAGTCCATAACAGTGGGGTAGGGGGTGCTTAGGAAGGAGGAAAGGAATCAGGGGTGGTGGTAAGGGATGAAGGATTCTGTCAGGAAGAGGACCAGAAGTTATCAGGAGCAGGTTTGGAAGGACGACGGAGACCTTGCCGAGGGTATTCCGCCGGAGATCCTTCTTGAGGATATGCCGGTGGAGATGAAGCATATGGAGACAGGGACAAGGTTTAGATCACTGTTACGCGACTTCAGATGACCCCGATGAATGACGGCTTTAGGAAACAGAAAGCAGGGACGATCCAAAGGAGGAAGGGCAGCTAAGGGGTAGTCGAGTTTTGGGAAGTGATACTCCTGCGCAAGGGGAAGGCAGGAGGGCTTAGACGCATATGGAAAGGCAAAGGTTAGGGAAACGAGGGTGCCAGGATTTCCGTGGAGGAGGGCGACAGAGACCAGGAAGGGAGACGATCTTTAAAGGTAGGGAAATCGGAAGGAGGCGCTACGGTAAGGAGCTGGAAGCCATGCATTTGCCAGTGCCAAATATTTGAGGGAAGATTGAATAGGAGAAGTTGGGGGGGGGGTGGGGGAGAGCTAATCGGAGATCCCTTTCCTAGATGGGGGTCTCTGATGGGAAAAGAAGGGGGGGCAATTTTTCTCTCCAAGGGAAACTGAGGCAGGGGGAAATCCTGGTTGCGGAGGCTGGGGCAGAAACTGAGAACTGGCGTCAAAGCCGGAGGGGAGCGAGGGAAGGGCGGCTGGAAGGGGGCTCCGATCCCAGAAGGAAAGCCCCGGTTTCTCACGTGCCCGCTGCGCAAAAGGAGGACTCTCCCGGGCTCGGCGCCCTCCCGGCGTGGCTCTCCCGCGTCGCTCCCGCTCCCGCTCTGAGCTGGCCCAGCTTCAGCCGGACAAGGTACCGGCACCTCCAGCCTCAGCCACGCCCCTTAGCCGGCACAGTCGGCCAATGACGAGCCGCTTCCCATTGCGTCACTCCCCGGCCCCGCCAATAGGAAAAGAGAAACACAACGGGCCCCCTTTGCGCATCTGTTTGCGGCGACGGGCTGCCTGCACCTGCACGGCCAGGGTGGGCGGGGCCTGTAGGTGACGACGGGGTCTTGGCAGGTCGTGTGAACGCGGGCGGAGGGGGAGCTCAGGTGAGCCTGCAGATTGTCGCTCGTTGTTTATTGATACCCCCGCCTTTCCTTTTGACTCCAGGCGGCTCGAGTTCCTCCGAAACCCCTGGGCCAACCCCAATCCGGGAGAAATTAGTCATTTGGTCGATTGCGCGTTCGCTTTTACGACAGCCGAGCTAATTTGGTGAGCGATTCCTGGTTTCCGTCTCGCTCCTTTTCTCAAAGGAAGGGCATTCTGGCAAATATAAATCCGAGGGCAGTAGATGAGTGGGTGTTTTTTTTGTTATTTTGTTTTGTTATTTTTTTTTTAAGTCAAGTCTCCCTAGTGTGTCACTTTCTTGTTGCACGTGTGAACGAGGTAGCGACCCCCTTTAAAGTCCGGCTTCTTGGGAAGTGCAAGGCGTGTCTTAGGCCACCCTACGAGCAGAGTGCCTTCAGCTGAGTTGCTGAGTCTTTCTTCGGCGAAACCCACCGCACCCATGACTTAAATTAAAATTCCCAGCCAGCCTGGTAGCACCGTCCTTTAATGATGCAACACTATGCACGCCTTACACCAAGTCCCCGCTAAGTAAACACCGATTTCAAGAGAGATTGAAATCTCACTGAAGAGACCAGGCGCCTGCAATGCCGAGGCTGCTGTTGCATGCGGGTCCTCTGCCAGGGCACCTTACTGCCCCCATCCCTTACTGAAAATAAATGATTGGTTATGTGACTGACATTCATGTATCCAGGGAGGTGCAGGAGCTCATTAGCATAGTTCATTAGCATAACTTATTTGCATATGACACACCCCCTTGACATCACCGGAAGTGTGTCAGAAGGCAACACCTATTGCTCAGGCTCCACTGGACTGTTTTGGATTGCTAGCTATCGGGGAGGGGGGAACGTGTAGATCTGTCCTCACAGAGGAGGGAGAGCTTGTACCTGAATAAAACTTGGTCTTAAAAGTGCCACTGGACTGTTTTGGACCGGGGGGCCAGGGGGAGCTCTGCAACTTACCTGGCTGCTTCTTGCTCTGACTGAGGGCTGCTGGGGGCGGGGCTTGTTGCATGTGCCCGCCCCCTGGGCTCCTTACTGCCAGAGCTCCGCTCCTGTGCGCTCCTGCAGGAAATGACCCCTGCATGTATCCCTTTCCTTCTGGTCGTCCTCCATTTAATTCCACAGGGCAGAGTCTACTTCATTTGTCTTCTTTAAAGCACCGGCTTTGCAAAAGTTGCTGTACCGATTTGCAGTTAACAGCTATGATTCCAGCAGCAGCAGGGGAACCCTTGATTATAGCTTAACACTGGTCCTCTGTGCCCCTGTGCATACTGAAGTGGTTACCCACAATCAGCTGCACCTCTCAGAAAAGACACAAGGGCGGAGCTCCAGATCGGGCAAAGTTAGGTTTAAGCACATCAAAAAGGGACTGCAACATTAAGGTGTTAGTTAAAGGGGAGAGAGAGAGATTGCATCTTTAAACAAAATGTAATAGTGGGGGGTATCCCTGACTTGGATTGCCCGGGTGAGCCCGATCTCATCAGATCTCAGAAGCTAAGCAGGGTCAGCTGGGGGTTCATACCTGGATCGGAGACCACCAAGGATAGCGTAGGGTTGCTTTGCAGAGCCAGGCAATGGCAAACCACCTCGGAACCTCTGAGAACCCTACAGGGTTGCCATAAGTTGGCAGTGGCTTGACGGTACTTTGCGCCACCACCAATACTGGGGGTAACATACCGTAATGATTTCATGTTTTGGTGTGTTGTTGTTGTTGTTCAGTCGCACAGTCGAGTCCGACTCTTCGCAACCCCATGGACCAGATCACGCCAGGCCCTCCTGTCTTCCGCCATCCTCTGAAGTTTGCTCAACTTCATGTTCGTCCTATGCAGTATTGTTCTTTGCAGCATCGGACTTTCCTTTCACCATCAGACACATCCTCAACTGAGCGTCCTTTCGGCTTTGGCCCGGCCGCTTCACTCTTTCTGGGGTTACTTGTACTTGTCCTCTGCTCTTCCCCAGTAGCATATTGGACACCTTCCGACCTGAGGGGCTCATCTTCCGGCGTCATATCTTTTAGCCTTTTGATACTGTCCATGGGGTTTTCTTGGCAAAAATACTGGAGTGGGTTGCCATTTCCTTCTCCAGGGGATCACGCTTGGTCTGAGTTCTCTGCTGTGGCCTGTCCGTCTTGGGTGGCCCTCCACAGCATAGCCCCCAGCCTCATCGAACCACGCAAGCCCCCTCACCACGACAAGGCAGTGATCCATGAGGGTTTTTTTGGTGTGTATGTTTCTTTATATGTTTAGTGTGACTGCAGTAATGGAAGGAGAGTGATCGAGGGAGATAAGTGTGACGTGATTGGCTGATGACTGAGAGTGTGAAAAGGCATACCCAACAACCGCCAACTGTCTGCTACTTCCTGTGTTCTGCCAGGATAGCTTTGTTGGGCACAGCAGCGCCCTCTGTGGGTTGCCACCAGAGGAATGTGCAAGATCAGCACATGCACATTCACTGCAGTGCCCCCCCCCCCCGGCGAAATGGCCTGGTAGAGATAAGAAAGGCTCCCTGCTTCTGTCTTTCCTCACACTATATAGTACAGAACTGTTCAGGACGCTTTTTATAAAGGTAGCAGGCATAGATCACAATGGAATGCTTCTTACAAAGAATGAGAATATTTATTTTATTTATTTATAATTCGATTTATATCCCACCCTCCCCTAAGGCTCAGGGTGGCTAACAATTGGGGCAAAAGCCATATTTAAAACAATTAAAAACAGAATAAAAACATAATAATACAACAAAGTGCTGGTGCTCTGATGTTCCCAGTTCCAAAATGGGTTCCGGTAGGGTGGATCCGGACCGACGACGTAAGTTCCAAAACGGCAGATCAGAGGTCATTTCGGGGGGGATCGCGGGGGATCGCAGTTCCCCCGGGTGAGTCGCACTCCCGCCGGCCTTGCAGGGCCACCGCCAGGCCCCTCATGGGGCTCGGCAGTGGAGCTGCAAGGCCGGCGGCGGCAGCCGGGACCGTTGGGGGCGGGGTGTGTGGCCTTGTGACACACTTCCGGTGATGTCAGGGGGTGTGGCATATGCTAATGAGTTATGCTAGTGAGTTCCCCTGGCTCTTTTTCTACAAAACGACCCCTGTGGCAGATAGCCAGTCTTCTTCCCAGGGCCCGCTTGCACCCTGATGGTATCTCTGCCAATTTTCGGCAGCGGTGCATTGGTGGAACATTAGCGGTGGTGGCTCCTACTCGAAAGCCTGGTAGAAGAGCTCCGCCTTGCAGGCCATGCAGAATTACACAAGATCCCGCAGGGCCCGGATCTCCTCCGCTAGCTCATTCCACCAGGTAGGAGCCGCCACCGAAAAGGCCCTGTCCCTAATCACGGCAAATTTGATGTCCCTGAGGCTTGGGGTAGTCAAAAGATGTTGGCCCCCCCGACCGTAGTGCCCTTGGGGGAGCATATGGGGAAAGGTGGTCCCTTAGGTATGCCAGACCCTGACCATAAAGGACTTTAAAGGTAAGAACCAGCACTTTGAAGCAGATTCGGTACGCTATTGGCAGCTAGTGCAGCGCCGAGAGGGACTTGTTAATAATCTCCCGTAGGGCACCTCGAAACCCCTCGTGGCCCGCCTTAATGAGCCAGGAGGGGCACGGATCAAGGTCGCACGTGGTTGGACCAGTGGTGGTGCAAAGTGCCAACTTATGGCTACCCCAGAGGGTTTTTCAAGGCAAGAGACGTTCAGAGGCGGTCTGTCCTTCCCTGCCTCCGCGTAGCAACCCTGGGCTTCCGTGCCGGTCTCCCATCCAAGTACTAACCAAGGCCGGCCCTGCTTAGCTTCCGAGATCTGGTTCGCCCGGGCCGCCAAAGTCAGACCGCTGTTCATCTGTTTCCTGTCTTATCCTGCTCCCACCCAGGGGTCATTTCGTAGAAAAAGAGGTGCAGGAGCTCATTAGCATCACTCATTAGCATAACTTATTTGCATATGCCACACCCCATGACATCACCGGAAGAGTGTCAGAAGGCAACTCCCACTGCAACTTACCTATCTGCTTCTTGCTTCTCGAGGCCCGGGGCTGCTGGGAGCAGGGGGTGGGGCTTGTTGCATATGCCCGCCCCCCTGGGCTCTTTACTGCCGGAGCTCCGCTCCTGTGCGCTCCTGCAGGAAATGACCCATGCTCCCACCACATTGCCTTCTATTTATGCAGTTCCATTGTCAAGCATGTCTAATGCTTTTTGCTTTGTTTCAGACTTCCGTAACCCAAGACTAATCACGTTTATTAGACGCCACATCCAATTGATCGTATTGACAGATTTCACAGAGAAAGATGGACAAAAATTAAATGATCCAGCTAAAACGGACAAGTTATGAATACGCCTGATTAGTTTGGACTCAGAATGTACAGCCAAAGCTCTTTTTTTAATGGCTCCTCAGCTGGTCAAGGGGATACTGTGATTACCACGGCCACACAGACGTAACAAAGAATGGAACTGATACCGGTGAGACACACAGTGAAACTGAGCTGCTCCTTTGACCTCTATGGAACAGATTAAATTGTTGATATCGTCCAGTGAACAACTGTGTACATGCCATGTCATGCACTGTTCTTTAGGTATGCTAAAATTCACATCAACTCTTTTCAGGGCCATTTCCCCCCCTCCCTTAATTTTTTAAATGTACTATTCCACATACCCATTTAAACCACCCTTAAGGGGGAAAAATTCCATTCAAGAGGCCCTTCCTAACTGACCCATCAGTCAAAGCTTGATTAGTTGGTACACGAGAGGGGGGCTTTTCAGTGGCAGCCCCACAATTATGCAACAAACTGCCCAGGGAGGCGCACCTGGAGGCAGCTAAAGATTGGTTTTATTTGGGACTGCATTTGATTAATTTGCCAACAGTCCTAAGTAGTGATTTTGAATTTTTTAAAATGTATTTTATCTATATTGTAAGCTGTCTGGAGCCCCAAAAGGTAGAAAGGCAGCTAAAAATGTTCTAAATAAATAAAATTAATGTGTTGCTATTGGATAATTTTTTCAAGGCTTTTTTGGTAGAAAAAGCCCAGCAGGAACTCATTGGCATAATAGGCCACACCCAACAGCAGAAATGCATTAGCATATTAGGCCACACCCCTGACAGCACAGCTCATTGGCATATTAGGCCACACCCCCATGTTACCAGAAGTGTGCTCATCCAGCCACACCCACCTTTTGCTTCTTATTCTGTTTACCTTGTTTGTTGTCAAAACCCAGGGCTTTTTTGTAGCAGGAACTCCTTTTCATGTTAGGCCACACACCCCTAATGTAGCCAATCCAAATGAGTTTCTGCTGTTGGGTGTGGCCTATTATGCTAATGTGTTCCTGCTGGGCGTGGCCAACTTGGAAGCCAGCCGGAACTCCGTTCCTGTGCGTTCCTGCCCAAAAATAGCTCTGAATTTTTAAAAGAGATTTTTACACTTGTGGTTTTCCTCTGTAAGACCAGCATAGCTGAGTTGTGCTCATTGGAATCCAACCTCCCCAGCATCTCAAGGAAGGCCCAAGAACTGTCTGTTGTTTCCGGCACCTGCGCCAGATGGGGTTCCACTGTTCCCAAACCGTTTCAGTTGGCAGTTGGCTCAGTTCAACATATAATTTCATTTAGGACGCCTTTGTGGATTAAGTGAAAGGCTAAAGCCTCTGAGCCTGTCTCATGTTTCATTACACTTAGCAAAAAAGTGGGAGGAGAGCCAGCATGAAGTGCATTTAACAAGCCTTTGCGCTAATTTCACAACGGTGACCTATGTGATGTAACGCCCATATCGTATAGTCAACCAAGGTTCTGATCAGTGTGGCAGCACTGGAGAGTTTCAGTATTAAGCTGAAAGGGCCTTTCTTGAGGAGGGTGGCATTGAGTTTCCAACAAGGGATTTGAGGGTTAGCCTCTCTGCAGGAAAAGGGCTGTTTGTGCTGGGTACGACTGACCTTCCCTTTGTGATGGTTTCAGAGGCCAAGACTGTTCCCACACACACCTGTGGGGGGGAAAACACAAGACTCATCCACTGAAACCTACGGAGGGCCTGGCTCTACCTGATTTGGTGGGGACTCGGGAGATGGAGGAAAGGTGCTTTCACACATACTGAATAATGCACTTTCAGTGCGCTTTGCAACTGGCTTTACTGTGCGCAAAGGCAAAATCCACTCGCAGATGATCACGAAAAGTGCACAGAAAGTGGACTGCAAGCGGAAGATTCAGCATGTGAGAAAGTGACTGAAGAGAAGACAGCGGGACTCCCAGGATGGAGAAACTGGAGCAAGTTCTTCCTCACAAGGCCTTGCAGCCAAAAGTGCAGAGACTAAGTCAGACCCTCCTCTGAGTTTGAGGCCCGATAAAGGGAGGGTGATTGCCGGGGGTAGGGGGGTAGGAACAAGCAGGAAAATGTGCAAACAGCAGCAGGTGTAGTATAGGGAACAGTGCAAAGCCCACATAAACATGTTCTGGGACCACAACAGAGCCAGTTTGGTGTCGTGGTTCAGTGCGCGGACTCTAATCTGGGAGAGCCGGGTTTGCTTCCCCCACTCCTCCACTTGCACCTGGCTGGATGACCTTGGGCAAGCCATAGTTCTGGCACAGCTGTCCTTGAAAAAGAGCAGTTTCTGTCAAGAGCTCTCTCAGCCCCACCTGCCTCACAGGGTGTCTGTTGTGGGGAGGGAAAGGGAAAGGAGTTTGTAAGCCGCTCTGAGACACCTTTGGGTAGTGAAGGGCAGGGTATACATCCAATCTCCTCCTCCTCCTCCAGTTTTGTGTAGGGGTTAAGTGCGCATATTCTAATCTGGGAGAACCGGGTTTGATTCCCCACTCCTCCACTTGCACCTGGCTGGATGACCTTGGGCAAGCCGCAGCTCTGATAAGAGCTGTTCTTGAAAAAGAAACGTTTCTGTCAGAGCTCTCTCAGCCCCACTGACCTCACAGGGTGTCTGTTGTGGGGAGGGGGAGGGAAAGGAGTTCGTAAGCCGCTCTGAGACACCTTTGGGTAGTGAAGGGCAGGGTATAAATCCAATCTCTTCTCCTTTGTACCGGTAGGCTCATGTGAGGAGTGACCGTGTGCCACAGGTGGAAGCACATACAGCCCCACCTGGTGTACTAATAAAGCACGTAGCTGTAAGCCCATATAGATCCATCTCTCAAAGCTAAAAGATGTTTATTGGCGGCTCAGCAGATGGTATCCTACAGGGCTCAATCCAGCCGGGGTTCCAGCCCTGGATCGAATTGTCGAAGCGCCCACCATGTCCTACACCAGTGATGGCGAACCTTTTAGAGACCGAGTGCCCAAACTGCGACCCAAAACCCACTTATTTATCGCAAAGTGCCAACACGGCAACTTAACCTGAATACTGAGGTTTTACTTTAGAAAAAACAACTCATACATTAACTTAAGATGATCCAAACAAAGTAAGGAAAGCAATCCCAAATGCTTTCATTTACTTAAAATTATTTGGCAGCGAATTCGACACTTGAATGATGGTCTGGGCCTGGCTGGGGCGATGGCACGCGTGCCCACAGAGAGGGCTCTGAGTGCCACCTCTGGCCCCCATGCCATAGGTTCGCCACCACTGGCCTACACTTTCCCCTCTCCCTCTCATGGAGGTGAATTTCAAGGTGATACTGGTAAGAGTACGTACCGATAGTTGCCTTATACTGAACAGGCCCCTTGGTCGATTTAAGGTTAGTACTATCCATTCAGACTGGCAGCAGCTCTCCAGGGTCTTGGGCGGACGCCCTTCCCAGATCCTTTAAACTGGAGCCGCCGGGGATTGAACCTGGGACATTCTGTGGGCAAAGAAGAGGCTCTTTCACTGAGCCGTGGCCTCTCCCCAAAGTCAGCTGTGGGACCCCAAGAGACGCTGTCTATTTGTGCAAAGCAACTAATTGTGCCAGTCAGCGTGCCGGAAAACTGGCAGACACGATTGGGGGGGGGGGCACTATGCTGAGCACATGAGGCTGCTTTTCGCACGGGAGGCAGCCCAGTTTAAAGACGACAAACAGGCAAAGTCCCACTGGAGTCCCACCTTGCAGTCGCTGCAGGAAAGAAATCTTTGCGGCCAGGGGTCATTTCCTGCGGGAGCGCACAGGAGTGGAGCTCCGGCAGTAAGGAGCCCAGGGGGCAGGCATATGCAACAAGCCCCGCCCCCTGCAGCCCTCAGTCAGGCCACGAGGAGCAAGAAGCAGTCAGGTAAGTTGCAGAGGGCCCCCCCCCCGGCCCGCCCTCAGGTACAAGCTCTCCCTCCTCTGTGAGGGCAGAACTGCACGTTCCCCCCCATACCTAGCAATCCAAAACAGTCCAATGGAGCCTGAGCGGTGGGTGTTGCCTTCTGACACACTTCCGGTGATGTCAGGGGGTGTGGCCTATGCTAATAAGTTATGCTAATGAGCTCCAGCACCTCTTTTTCTACGAAATGACCCGTTTGCGGCATCGTCCAAGAGCTTGCAGGTAACTCCCCCACCACTCTCCCCACCGCCCCCAAAAGACGTGCAGATTCAAGGCAGGCGGGGGTTTTTTCCGCTCCATTTTATTTGGAATTAGAAAAGTCCACAGTCACCGCGTGACCTACAGAGTTTGCATATTTCCTTACTCCAACTTTATTTTTATTTTTTTTAAATTTTAAATTTTTTTTTTGTAATCCTCTCCTTTTGTCTTTAAGGCCAAGAGTGTCCCTTCGCTTTTTTTTTTTTTTTTTAAATTGTTTTTTTACTCCCCACCCCTGCCGTCACAGACTCGGCTAAGGGCTCCCCCCCCTTCCTTTTGCCTTGTCATACGGACACGGCAACGCGGGGCGGGGAAGCGGGAGGGAATCGGATCGGGGGAACAGGTAGAGCCGCTGTGCTCGCTTTCCCACCCCCCCACACCCCTTCACACACATGCGCGCACCCACACACACGTAGACACGCACACAGAAATCCAGAAGTCACAGTTTGTTTGTTTTTTAAATCTGGAATTGAATGCGGGTGGGGGGGAAGGGGACTGGAAACAGAGGGGGGGGGGAGTAAAGAGCATCTGTCTCTTGTTTCTTTTTTGTTCAACGTTGCATATTTTCCTAACGTTTCAAAGCAAGTGCAACTTGAGGAAGACACGAGGGGAATAAAAGCAAAAAAAGGGGGCGGGGAAGGGAGGGGAGGAAATGGAAAAAGTAAAAAAGAGTGCCAACAGACTCTACGGAGGGAGGTGTGCTAGGGCTGAACTGAGCGGCGGAGGGCCGACGGGAAGCTCGCCGAGTGCCGACGTTTTCGAAAGTGCCACCTCAGTTGCGAGGAGGTTTAATTCTGGCCCCAGGGAACCAAAGGCCCTTGGTCCTTGATGCCGTCGCGTGGACCCTGCCTGCTTTCACCCCCACCCTCCTCCCGTCCATCCTGATAACCCCTTATAAAAAAAGGAAAAAAAAACCCTACTGGAATTGCCAGCAGGGAGGCGAAGGAAAGGGATCTTGCCCGCTTGGAGCGTACGTTCAGCCACCTCCCTCGAGTTGCCAAGCCGGTCTGGAGGAACTCTAAGCCATCGGCCAGCTTCTCCATCTTCAGCGCAGGAGCCCGGAAATGCTCAGTTCCTCCACCGAGGGTTTTTGAACGTGCACCAGGATATTCCACGCCCGGAAGGACACGGGGAGGGTCGGGTCTTGCCAGCTCCTTTTGGAGCTGGGATAGATCAATGCCCTGAATTTGACATGGAGGGGGGGGAGAGAGAGAGGAACTCGCCGTAGGAGGCTTATTTTTTCCCATCTGTGTGCTTACAACCTTAGCCTGCTTTGGCTCAAGGGAGGGGGGCACGGGAGGAAGGAGGCAGGGGATGGGAGGCTATGGCTTTTGATCAGTCAATGGATTGCACAGAGTCACAGAGAGAGAGAAAAAAAAAGAAATGAGGAGTGCAGGAGTCGGCCGCTTATCCCGACAGCGAGAGGAGGCTGGGCAGAGCGCCGGCGGTGCCAAGGAAGCCGCCACAGTGCCTGAGGGAGGTACAGGAGCCACGCCTGGCCGGGTAGAGTGCCACGTTCCCCTCCCCACCTAGCTCAGAACTTCTTGGGGCCCCAGACAGAGGTCTGCTTGGGGACGACACCCGAGCCGAAGACTGGAAACTCTTCGGCGCTGCTCACGTCTGGAGCCTGAAACCGTACAAGGAGAAGAAGAAGAAGAGTCAGCTTAAGGGAACGCGAGACCTGGACCCTACGCAGGCCTTCTGATTTGCACACAAGCCCGCTAACAGGAGATATGCAGCCGATGCTTGATAGGAAGCTAGGGAAGGTGCTAGTCCTTATGGTTTCGGGAGGAAAAGCTGGCAAACTCGGAGCTTCTACAGAGCAGGAACCTGGATGAGTCCTAGTCCCCTCCCCCTCCAGGGTGTGTCACGTCTTTCTATTGGTTAACCAACATTACAATTCGGCCTGGGAGCAGCTGGAAGTGTTAAGGCAGACCTTATTCCCAGATGCATTCCAAGGGGCATCTCGCACCACAAAGCCCTTGGCCGGGCCCCGGGGCTCCTCTTCCAAGCGGGAGGGGGGCTTCATGTACGCGGCCATGGTTTCCGTCTCCACCACGTCCATCATCTGCAACGAGAGACCGTCCTGTGAACACTGGAGGAAGCGATTAGGGCCGCGACAGGAGAAAGCATTGCCACTTACAGGGAAAAAGCTTCGACACGTGCAGATTCTGTGCTTAAGACCTGACAACTGTGTGTAGGGTACAAAGCACAAAAAACCGCTGGCTAAAGATAAACAAAAATGTATAAAAAGAATATTTAATGCCGAGTTCAATAATACAGTCAATATAACTATATAAAGCCAAGGTGTTCTTACAAGAAACAACAGTAACACAGAAAAACTGAAAAATAAAGTCCCAAAAGTTTCAATGTGTCTCACTCCTGTTGTATTGTAATTCCATAGTCCAACCTGACATACGTTCATCATGGAGCGGACTCATATAGTTCCTGGAAAATCCATATAATCTTGAAATCCATAAACCATAGAGACGTGTAATCTGGATACAAACCGCTGCATTTCAAATAATTCTTTTTCAAAACCAATAGGTTACAGTGAGACCCAATCTCAGTAGAGCCTATTGGTTTTGAAAAAGAATTATTCAAAACATGGGAGCTTGCATCCGGACTACGCGTCTCTATGGTTTATGGATTTCAAGATTATATGGATTTTCCAGGAACTATATGAGTCCACTCTATGATGAACATATGGCAGGTTGGACTAGGGAAGTACAATACAATAGGAGTGAGACACACTGAAATTTTTGGGACTTTATTTTTCTATTTTTCTGTGTTATTGTTGTTTCTTGTAAGAACACCTTGGCTTTATATAGTTATATTGACTGTATTATTGAACTCGGCATTAAGAACACCTTGGTATATAGTTATACGACTATTATTGAACTCGGCATTAAATATTCTTTTTATATTTTTTTTATCTTTAGCCAGTTTTTTTGTGCTTTGTACCATTTCATGTACGCTGGTTCCCCTTCTTTTTTGTTTTCTTCTGCATCTCTGTGTGTAGGGGGGGGCCAGCACACGTCTACTCCTCCTCTAGTGGTACCCGTTTCAGCATGTCCTCTGCAGAGCCATGATGTTATCTTAAAAAAGGTAAAGGTCTCCCTTGCTCGAAAGCCAGTCGAGTCCGACTCTAGGGTTGCGGTGCTCATCTCAGTTTCAAAGCCGAAGAGCCAGCGCTGTCCGAAGACATTTCCGTGGTCATGTGGCCGGCGTGACTAAACACCAAGGCGCACGGAACGCTGTTACCTTCCCACCGAAGTGGTACCTATTTATCTACTTGCAATTTCTTGCTTTCGAACTGCTAGGTTGGCTGGAGCTGGAACTAGAGACGGGAGCTCACTCCGTCATGCGGCACCCGGGTCTCGAACATGCGGCAACTCGGGTCATATATATATATATATATATATATAATAGTTATCTTGCTAGTGATAAATAGCTGTAACTGATTAGGTCAGTCATATTAGGCTTCTGCGACTACAACTAGCATTAACGGTGTCGCCATAGCATCCTGCAGCAACGTTGATCCCTGCTAAGCTACAGCCACAACAGAGGTAAATCGACCGCTGAGGAGCCGGGGGCAACAGATGCGACTTCCCCACCCTCGTTTTATCTGCACAAGGTCAAGAATTCAAGAATCCTGTTGCCACCCGCTCTGAGCCTCGTTGTGCAGGGGACAGCAGGCTATAAACCTAATATATAAATAAATAAAACCAGCCTGCGAGGTAGGCTGGGAGAGAGCGGGCGCCCAGGCGCATGGAAGAAGTGGGGCTCGAACCTCAGCTTCCCAGGTTCTAGACTAACTGCCTCCCAGGGAGCAGAGCAATAGATCCTCACCCAGTCTTCCCCGCTAGCTGTCCAGACGGACCTCGCTCCCCCTGTCCGCACAAATACCGCCCCCCCTTTCTCACGTATTCCTCTTCCAAGTTGAGCAGGTGGTCAATCGCATCGTCTACGTTCTCAGGCAGCCCCGTCACCGTGACTCTGTCGGGGTCGCTGGAGCCTGGCTGCGGGAAGCGGATGTCCACCTGTTCAGAAAAGGGCATGTTTGTGTATTAACAGAATACAACTGTGGATTAATCTAGTATAATGGAACACCCCGGGAGGGGGGGGGTCACTTATACGGGATAATACTGAGGTCTACTGAAGTGCTCATCACCCCCTCTTTTTCTCTATTATAACATTCTCTACTTTTGTAACCCCCTTTCTCCTTTATGCTATGTTGCGTCTTAGTTGTTGTTGTTGTTATTTATTATTTTGACTTATATCCTGCCCTCCCAGCCGAGGCGGGCTTAGGGCGGCTTGCAGCAATTCAAGGATACGATTAAATACAGTCATTCAAGGATACAATTAAGTACAGTAAAATACAATAAAACCTATCATAAACTTATGAATTGCTTAAAATAAAGTCGTTTAAAACATAAATACATAAAATGCTGAAACGTACTCAGAGAACAAGTTAGACTCTAGTTCAGTAGCACCAGGGCTCTTTTTGTAGAAAAAGCCCAGCAGGAACTCATTAGCATGATAGGCCACAACCAACAGCAGAAACTCATTAGCATATTAGGCCACACCCCTGACAGCACAGCTCATTAGCACATTAGGCCGCATTCCCATGTTACCAGAAGTGTGGTCATCCAGCCACACCCACCTTTTGCTTCTTATTCTGTTTACCTTGTTTGTTGTCAAAACCCTGGGCTTTTTTTGTAGCAAGAACTCCTTTGCATGTTAGGGCACACCCCCCTAATGTAGCCAATCCGAATGAGTTCCTGCTGTTGGGTGTGGCCTATTATGGTAATGAGTTCCTGCTGGGCGTGGCCAACTCGGGAGCCAGCCGGAACTCTGTTCCTGTGCGTTCCTGCCCAAAAATAGCCCTGAGTAGCACCTTATACACCAACAAGAGATTCAGGGTGTAAGCTTTCGAGAATCACCGAGCTTTGAGTCTCGGAAGCGTAAACCCCGAAACTCTAGTTGGTCTCCAAATCTGGCTGTTTCCAAATCTAGCTGGTCTTCAAATCTAGCTGTTCTACTGCAGACCAGCAAGGCGAAAGTGTTTCTGTTCCCTTACACTGTTTACATTGTTTTCCCGTCTTTGCAAGCCTAGTCCTACCGGTGCTATGAACTAGAGGTCTCTGTGGTCAAACGGAACACCTTTTCACGTTTTGTAATCTGCCCTGAGTCTTAGGGAGAAGGGTGGGCTATAAATGAAGCTATTATCATTAATCTTTATTACGTTATTACGTTAAGCAAGTGGTGGTGGAAAGTGCCGTCAAGCAGCTACCATCGCCTGCCTCTGTGCAGCAACCTTGGTATTCCTTGGTGGTTTCCCGTCCAAATACTAACCAGAGCCAACCCTCCATAGCTTCCGAGATCTGATGAGATCTGGCTAGCCCGGGCCATCCAGGCCAGGGCCTCAACCAAGCGGGGTGGGTGAACGGATCACAGCCCTGGAGTGGCTACGTCTCTGCTATCAACGGTCACGTCATGCTTGAGCCATGAGCCGACTGGGCCAATGAGTAAGCCAATTCCCTGGCCCCATCTATCTCCTCAGACTGGAAGTGGCTCTCTGCAGTCTCAGAGAAAGGTAGGGTTGCCAAGTGAGAAGTTCTTACCAGCGGGGGAGCCTCGGCGTTCTCCGGGAGCCGTCTGAGAATGTGTGTGCACACGCGCTTCGCCAGCACATCACTGGAAGTGATGCGCAATGTCAATCACGTTGAGGGTGTGGCCACGATCGTCAGAGGGAAAACCATAGAGTTTTCCCTCCGACGATCGGGGCCACGCCCCCAACGTGATCGATGTGGTTGCGTCACCTCTGGTGACGCAGCCACGCTGCGCTTTGGGGGGCAGAGTTCCCCCCGGGGCCTGATTCCGCGGTGGCGGAAATCGGGCCTACGAAGCAGGGGTTTACCTGCTCCCCGCCCCCACTTGGCAGCCCTAGAGAAAGGTCCCTCTTGACACCTGCAACCTTTCACGGGAAATGGCCAGAGGCCGAACCTGGGACTCTCCGGAGTGTGAAGCTTGGGCTCTGCACCCCACGTCCCAGGCAGGATCACCTGCACACACACACACACACACACACACACGCACCAGTGGTGCCTGGCCCTTACCCGGAATTCTTCCATGAGCTTGCGGATCGCCTTGCCCCGCCCACCAATGATCCGGGCGTGGACCCGGTGATCCAACCGGACGTCTTCGCTGACCATCTCTTCGAGGTCTGCCACGATTTTCAAGATGGCGTCGCGGGCCCCCTCGGCGTTCTTCTCGTAGCCGGTGATCGTGATAAGGTCCTGTTTGGGGAGCACTGGTGTTAGGGTGGCTGCGAGTCAAAAGGCAGCCTGCCGGAATCTGAGTGAGGCTGGGACGTTTTGTTTCAGCCCCTGGTCTTTAAGAAAAGTCCCTGTCTCTCCAAACCTCTTACGGTGGAACACCGAGATGGGTTAGAAGTTAGAGCTGAAGCGGGACTCTGTTGTCACACGGCAAGACTAAAAGGAGTCCAAGAGCTCAAGGAAACCAGAAACTTCATCTACATCTTTGCAAGAGAGAGTCATGAAAGCCAATTCTGGCCAGGGTCTGAAGGTCTAGCAGCGCTGCAGTGGACCTGGTTAGCCAAACATAAAAGGCTGACTTCAGGGTTCAACCCATGAAAAACCCAAAAGCTAGAAAATGCTCAGATCTTCTGAAGTTCTGAAATTTGGACTTACACAGCAGTGAGGATCTAACGTGAGTCGATATGTTTTCCTCACCCATCCTTTGCAGCTCACTCGATGTGCAGAGCAACCCGATTTGAAAGCTAGCATTAACACCGAGGCCAGGAGCATATTGTGAAGCTGCATTATACTGAATCAGACTCTTGGACCGATTTCCCACAAGAGCTGCGCCGCAGTCGTGCCTCCCTTTGCCCCGCTTCTGTTGGTCAATTTCCCACTACTCGAAGCCGCGCGGCAGCATTTTGACCTGCGGCTTCGCCTGATTTCCCCCGCGGTTTCGTGATCCTGTTTTTTTGAGGATCACAAAACCGCAGCTGAAGCCGCGGGTCAAAATGCAGCCGCGCGGCTTCGAGTGGGAAATTGACCAATAGAAGCGGGGCAAAGGGAGGTGCGACCACGGCGCAGCTCTTGTTTGAAATCGGTCTTGGTGTCCATCCAGGTCAGTCAGAGGTCATTTCGGGGGGGATCGCGGGGGATTGCAGTTCCCCTGGGTGAGGTACGGGGGTGCGTGGCACATGACGAAGCCCTGCCGCCTGCTTCCGGCCGCCCCGCTCCCGGCCCTCATTCAGCCAGGAGGAGGCAGGAGAAGAGGGAAGGTAAGTTGCTTCCTCCCTGCCTCTCCCCACCCCTGCCTGCCTGGGGCCAGGGAGGGCCTTCGCGGGGCTTCCTTGCACTCCTGCCAGCCTTGTAGGTCCACCGCCGGGCCCCTCATGGGGCCGTTGGGGGCGGGGTGTGTGGCCTTATGACACACTTCCGGTGATGTCAGGGGGTGTGGCATATGCTAATGAGTTATGCTAATAAGTTCCCCTAGCTCTTTTTTTACGAAACGACCCCTGAGGTGAGTACTGCCTACTCAGGCTGGCGGCAGTTCTCCGGAGTCTCAGGTGGAGGTCTTTCACATCGCCTTCATCCCGATCCTTTTAACAGGAGATGCTGGGAGATTGAACCGGGGACCGGATGCTCTACCACTGAGCCACGGAGCTGTGATCAAATCCTGGCCAACCTTGTAAGGCCGTTGTACAGTACAAGATAATGTGTCAGTTCCAGAGGGGTCGCCGTGTTAGTGTGGGAGCAGACAAAACAACGACCCTTGACCAGTGTTCCCTCTAAGCTGAATTAGTGTGAGCTCACACATTTCTGTCTCAGCTCAGGAAGGATGGCTCCAGAACACACTAATTTATGCAGTAGCCAAATCACCTGCTCACAACTTTAATGCCGGTAGCTCACAAAGTAGAATTTTTGCTCACAGGACTCTACAACTTAGAGGGAACATTGCCCTTGACACCTCGAAGACTTAAAGATTTGTTATGGTGTAAACTTTCGTGAGCCAGGGTCCACTTCACCAAATGCATGACGTTACTGCCCCCTTCAGGAGGAAGAGAGACTTTATACCTGGAGCGCCGCAGAGAAGGGCAAAACTGTTATCCGGTGGTGCCAGAAGGCCCAGTTTCCCAGGGGCAACGTGTGTGATGCTGCACAGCCCAGGTGAAAATGAAAGCCGGTTACCAGAATCAATGATGTAGTCAGAGCGGGCATGGATCGCTCTACTCAATCTGTGAAGTCTTTAAGGTGTCACTGGACTCTTGTTATTAAGCTAAGGTGTCTGAAGACATGTATGCAAGTTGAATATCATCTCTCGTACCTGAAAGTCTGGCCTTTGGGGACTGAAGGCTTCCACAGCACACAGCCAAACACACACACCCCTCTGAACCAGTGTTCCCTCTAAGCTGAGTCAGTGTGAGCTAGCTCACAGTTTTTTAGCCTCTGGCTTGTACGTTTTTGTCTTAGCTCAGGAAGAAGAAGAGGAGGAAGAGATTGGATTTATACCCTGCCCTTCACTACCCAAACTCCTTTCCCTTCCCCTCCCCACAACAGACACCCTGGGAGGTGGGTGGGGCTGAGAGAGCTCTTGACAGAAACGGCTCTTTCGGGAACAGCTGTGCCAGAGCTTGTGACTGACCCAAGGTCATCCAGCAGCTGCAAGTGGAGGAGTGGGGAATCAAACCCGGTTCTCCCAGATTAGAGTCCGCGCACTTCACCACGACACCAAACTGGCTCTCATCCGCCAAAAGCTCCAGGGAAAACTGACTTATGCAGCAGCCAAACCGCTCGCTCACAACATGAATGCCAGTAGCTCACAAAGTAGAATTTTTGCTCACGAGACTCCACAGCTTAGAGGGAGCGTTGCTCTGAACCCGCAGGCAAAGGGAGCGGCGAGAGGCCCCTCCGCTTGTCACCACCCAATCTCAGATGACCATCGGCTAGCTACTTCGGCAAGATTGTCCCATGACCCCCCTGGAGCCAAACTCCACCACTGAAGACGAGAGACCCACCTGATTCTCATCCCCTTTGTCCGGGAACTGGACGGTGACGTCGTGGTCCTTACGGATCTGGGAGATGACCGCCCCCTTCTTGCCGATGATCTTCGGGTGGTACTTGGGCTCCACGCTCACGGTGAGCTTGAAGCCTCGCAACGCCTGTGACGACACCACAAAAAGAACACACCCAGCCGTTAGATTGGCCAAAGGCCCTTTTTGTCCAGTAGAAGCGAACCAGTGGGGGGAAAGACACACGAAGGGGGGTGCACTCATCACGCCGTGCGCTGGCAGTACCCGATCTTCCTGCTCCGCCTGAAGCTCCTTGACTCTCTCCAAGAGACCCGCCCGGGCTCGCTCCACGTTGGGGACCAGGCCCGTGATCTTGATGATGTCCGACTGCTGCTCGGGTTGGGGCACGGAGATGTTCACCTGGGGGGACCACGAAGCAAAGGGTTAGAGAAGCAGGGATCGCAGACGGCAATCCCTTCGGACCAACTGGGTTTCGGCTGATGAGCCAGCGAGGGTGAACCGGCAACGGGAAGGCAGCATTTTGGGCCTGCTAATTTCTTTGATTCTGGCGTGCGGTAAGGAAGTGAGTCGAGAAAAGATTGGAGCTCGGAGGATCCCACGAATGGATTCTGTGTATGTTTTTTTTTTTTTTAAAGTATCCATTAGGTACACTTTTATTATTTTTCATATTATACACCAACAAACAAACATACAACATAACAAACACCCACTTACACACATAAAACATACAAAGAGATCAGTATATTTTCTTATAACTCTATTACTATAAAGAATTTCTATAAGTTTGCTTAAGTTTCTGTATACTCTTATCTTTTTACCATAGTTTCTATTTAACTAAAAGAGATAATAACACCAAAAATTTCATTACTTTAAACTATGCATTTATATTGTACCAATCATACAGTTTTTTCCACGTCTTTTGAAATGTTGGGTCTGTTATCCCCTCTCATCAACGATGACAGTTTGTCATTTTCAGCCGTCTCCAACAGTTTATTCACATATTCTTGCTTCTTTGGTGCTTCCGTTTGTTTCCAATAGATTCTGTGTATGATTGATTGCCTCTGCTGCAAGGCACGCTTCCGCTTCCTCTAGCACTTCCAATTGCCCGAGGGCTGGCTGAAAACGACCCTGTGCAAACAGGAGTGCTGGCAGGAAAGGAAGGGGACGCTCCGTGGCATAGGGCTGTGGAGCTCATTCATAGAACCCAAAGGCGAAGTTCCCTCCTGCGAAATACTCGGCTGGATCCCCAGAGCCTGTCCTCAAGGATGGTGTCTCGTGTCGCCAGGGGTCATTTCGTAGAAAAGGAGGTGCAGGAGCTCATTAGCATAACTCATTAGCATAGGCCGCACCCCCTGACATCACCAGAAGTGTGTCGGAAGGCAAAACCCACCACTCAGGCTCCACTGGACTGTTTTGGATTGCTAGCTATTGGGGGCGGGGGGAACGTGCAAATCTGCCCTCACAGAGGAGGGAGAGCTTGTACCTGAATAAAACCTGGTCTTAAAGGTCACTGGACTGTTTTGGACTAGGGGGCCCGACGGAGGGGTGCGGGGAGTTGGGGGCGGGGCTTGTTGCACGTGCCTGCCCCCTGGGCTCCTTACTGCCAGAGCTCTGCTCCTGTGCACTCCCGCAGGAAATGACCCCTGCGTGTCGCGTGTTGGAAGTTTGCTCCTGCTTTGTATTTTTTCCTTCTGCAGTCTCGTCTCCGGTCCAGAACTACAGGACTGAATTACTGCAGTGCTCCTTATCAGCACTTTGGTTTTGCTCCTTGCCAGCAATCTGAACTGAGCTAGTTATAGCAGGGGGTGTCGAACTCATTTGTGATGAGGGCCGGATCTGCCATAAGTGAGACCCTGTTGGGCCGGGCCATGTGTGTCATAAAAAGTAGTGCCAGGTAGCGGAGATATAAACTTTATCAAGGGCACAAACACAAAGGTTTTTACTTAAAATAAAAGCATGCTTAAAACATTAGCACTCTTGCAATGTTTTGCTTATTTAAGTGTCTGATAACTGACACCTCTTGCTCTGAATTATTGCATCAAAATGTCTGTGCTGTTGCAATCTTGAGTGTGCTGTTCAGGTGTGTCTCTGTAAGCTGCAAACCTACGATGATGCAGCAGCAGCAGAACTGGAAGAAGAAGCAGAAGGCAGCCAGTTCCACTGCGGGCCTGATAGAAGCCCTCCGGGGGCCTGATCCGGCCCCCGGGCCGCACGTTTGACAGCCCTGAGTTATAGGCTCATTTTCCACGCTCTCAGTCTTTACCCTGGAAGCCGGGTGTCTCAAGAGGGGAACAACTACACTAGCAGCTCACACCAACTTGCTGCCGTGTTTGTGTCTGTGCATAACGTGCTGTCAAGTCGCAGCTGTCCTACGGCAACCTTGTAGGGTTTCCCAAGGCAAGAGACGTTCAGTGGTGGTTTTGCCACCGCCTGCCTCTGCGTGGCAACCTCGGACTTCCTTGGCGGACTCCTATCCAAGTGCTAACTGCAGCCGACCCCTGCTTTGCTTCCGAGATCTGACGAAACCGGGCTAGCCTGGGCTATTCAGGGTCAGGGCAACCGGTTGCTACTGGTCTGTTTTCCTGAGTCTGATAGCTGGATACCAGCAGCTGAGAATGATACAGATAAGAGATAAAGGGCTGGATCCCAAGCCCACTAACAACAGTACTTCCCCATGATGCGAGACAGCCTTCTACCAGCAGAAGGCTCTTTCTAAAACACCACCATTAGTGGAAGATCTGGATGGCCCAGGCCAGCCTGATCTCGGAAGCTAAGCAGGGCCGGCCTTGGCTAGTCTTTGGAAGGGCGACCACCAAGGAATACCAGGGTCGTGACGCAGAGGCAGGCAATGGCAAAACCACCTCTGAAACATCGCTTGCCTTAAAAACAACCCTAGCTCGCCACCTTAGTGGTGCATAATACTAAAGGAGCTAGAACTTCTGGCTGCCAGACAATCTTAAGATCTCCTGGCGATGCTACACATACTGCCATATGGTAGTTGTTATTATTAGTGGAAGATATTTATGGGATCCAGCCCCACCGTGTTTAGCTTCCCCCATCTCTTGCAGGTAGTTCAGTTCTGCTTTTTGGGGACGTTTCCACTTTTCCACTGTAGGACGTACACATTCCTTTGGCCAATTCACGGGAATCCCAACCCCATGCAGTTTGCGAGTGTCTTCCTTTCGACGGCAAGTGCTTCAATTCAGCTACGTTCACATTCATCGGGAGGATGAGATCCTCGTGCATCCTCCTCCCTGCTTCTCGTCACCAAATGAATCCCCTTCGCTTGATTTCTTTTCTGCTCTTCATTCCCAAGCCCAGTCATTTCGTTTGACGGATTCTCTCCACACCCCGACAAAGACTCTTGGATTCCACATCAAGCAGTGAAATCAATTCCCTGAAGCCCCTTCCTTCCCTGGGAGATGCTTTCACCCCTTTCTGTCTTGCTAGGCCCTGTTTCGCTGCCCTCTGGTGTTCAACAGCGTTTAGACAGGCTTCTCCCTAAGCAAACCTCCCCTGGAATGACATCCCCGTGTTACAGAAGGAGTGTGCGGATTTTTAAAAAGAGGGATTGGTCCTGAAGTGTCCACTTTTGACCTCGTTTTAATCTCATGTGTCAATCTAGTGCAGGGTTGACTTTATCTCCACAGATGAACACTAGGGAATTAAGGCCTGCACTGATAAGAAGAAGAAGAAGAGGAGATTGGATTTCTACCCCGCCCTTCACTACCCAAAGGGAGTCTCAGAGCAGCTTACAAACTCCTTTCCCTTCCCCTCCCCACAACAGACACCCTGTGAGGTCGGTGGGGCTGAGAGAGCTCTGACAGAAACGGCTCTTTTTCAAGGACAGCTCTTATCAGAACTGCGGCTTGCCCAAGGTCATCCAGCCAGGGGCAAGTGGAGGAGTGGGGGAATCAAACACAGTTCTCCCAGATTAGAGTCCGCACACTTAACCACTACACCAAACTTCAAATTGGTCTGCATACATTTAGGGAAAATCAAAGTACTGGGTCTATCTATAGAATCACCGTCTATGCTGCCCTCTGTTGCTGCATTTCAACAGATTAAAAACAGGATGTTAGATATTGAGCACTAGAAATTATACAGCTTAGCCAATAAAAGCTGCTCCCCCCCCCCTTTGAGTCTCGAGATCCCTTTTACTACAGGGAAGATGGCCCGGATGCACTTAAGGGACACAGACCTCTACATGATTTCTGTTCTGACATCACTGAGAAGGTGGCCAAGTTTCTCCACTCTGCTTTAAAGCTGCGCCAAAGGACCCCAGAGACATAGCATTTTCATAGGAGTGTTTTAACCCGCTCTTAAATTGTACAGTCTAGAGACCTAGTATTTTTAATAGGTGTGTTTTCAATCTGCTTTTAAGTTGTATAGTCTGTATTGCCAGTTTGTGTCAATAAAGGCTAGCTTGAACTTGGACTTGATAAGAACACTTAAAAGTGCTGGTGGTCGACTGATGGTCCACTGATGGGAACCCCACAGGGTTGTCAAGGCAAGAGACTTTCAGAGGAGGTTTGCCGCTGCCTGCTTCTCCATAGCAACCCTGGACCCGGGGATTTTTTCCTGGGGGAACACGGTGCAACGGAGTTCCGGAACCCCTTTGTGGAAACAAAATTCTCAAAAAATGTTTAAGAGGTCATGCTATTGTTTCAAAGACTCCTGCGTGTTCCTCCTTCATGTCCCTCTTGGGAGTTCTGGCACTTGGTTTTCCAGGGAAAAAAAAGAAAAGCCCTGCCTGGACCTACCCAAGCATAAACCGGGTCTGACCCTGCTTAGCTTCCGAGATCTGATGAGATCAGGTGAGCCTGGCCCATCCGGGTCACTTAAAAGCACTACCTGGCTCAATGGCCAGGGCACACCTGCCTTCTCCCCAGGTGAACCCGCCCAATCCTGCCTCGCAAATCTTTTCCTCTGTCTCTCCACCTTCTACAGGCCTGGCAGGTGGCCAATGAGTTCACAAATTTACAGAATAATGACAAAAATGGGCATTTTCATGATGTATAAATCCCAAACTTCTTCTTTTAATCAACAGGTCAGATGATGACGAACATCTCGAGTTTCCAGAGTTCGTTTCGAGGTCTTTATCAAAATTCTGTTTTGCTGTATTTTTCAAACAATCCGATATAAGGAATCTCAAATTCAGAATGGCTACACCAGTGGTTAACACGAGAGCTATTTGTTCGTCATCATCTGACCTGTTGATTAAAAGAAGAAGTTTGGGATTTATACATCATGAAAATGCCCATTTTTGTCATTATTCTGTAAATTTGTGAACTGATTGCAGCAATTCCTTTATTTTGGTATTTTCAGATTGCTGTGCCCTTGGTTGCATTGTAGGTGGCCAATGAGGACAGAGCCTTTGCGGCATCCCATCTGAGGTCCGCCGTCCCCAGAAACGTTCACGCAACACCACCCTCTGATATCCTTCGGATCCCCAAGCTAAGACAAGCCATGGGTGTGCGTGGCGGCTCATCGTTTTAACTGACTCCCGCGATCAATCGGCTCTCCGAGAGAGAGAGAGAAAGAGAGGCTGAAATTAAACCTGCAGCTAACCAATCAGCAAAAAAAATTCCTGCCGTAAGTTATAACTCCTTTTTTGAAGAAGCAACTGGGGAGAGGGCTGCAGTGACCGAGCGACCTTCCTTAAGATACAAGAAATGATTCCCGAAGAGAAGTTTGCTTGTGGCTCCCCCTGGTGGAGAATGCACACTCACTTGTACCCAAGAAGAGCTGCATTAAATGGTAAAAGGTAAAGGTTCCCTTGCTCGAAAGCCAGCCGAATCCGACTCTAGGGTTGCGGTGCTCATCTCCGTTTCCAAGCCGAAGAGCCAGCGCTGTCCGAAGACCTTTCCGTGGTCATGTGGCCGGCATGACTAAACACCAAGGAGCATGGAATACTGTTCCCTTCCCACCGAAGTGGTCCCTATTTATCTACTTGCAATGTCTTGCTTTCGAACTGCTAGGTTGGCAGGAGCTGGAACTAGAGACGGGAGCTCACTCCGTCTTGCGGTCCCCGGGTCTCGAACTGCTGAACTACTGACCTTCCACAGCCTGCAGTTCAGCGTCTTGACCACTTGAGCCACCGCAGCCCTAAATGGACAGTGCCACAAATTCTGAGGTGGATTTGTGCTTGTCTCCCCCTGGTGGTGGTGCTCTTAGCTACTGCTCATTGTCAGCACAAGGGGAACACAGAGATGGATGGGGGGGGGGCACAAAGGAACTCCCGGTACTGCCAGGCCAGACACACCACACTGGTCCAACCTTGGACAATTTGATTCTGCGCACCCAGATAGTGAATGTGGTGAATGAAAGTGGAGCTCACTGGAGAGAGACCATGGCTCAGTGGTAGAGCCTCTGCTCGGCAGGCAGAAGGTCCCGGATTCAATCCCCGACATCTCAAGCTCAAAGGATCAGGTAGTAGGCAATGCTCCCTCTAAGCTGTGGAGTCTTGCGAGCAAAAATTCTACTTTGTGAGCTACTGGCATTAAAGTGGTGAGCGAGCAATTCGGGAATTAGTTTGCTCCGGAGCCATCCTTCCTGAGCTAAGACAGAAATGTGTGAGCCAGAGGCTAAAAAACTGTGAGCTGGCTCACACTAACTTGGCTTAGAGGGAACACTGGTAGGAGGTGATGTGAAAAACCTCTGCCTGAGACCCTGGAGAACCACTGCCAGTCCAAGGAGACATCACTGACTTTCATGGACTGATTGTCTGGATTTAGTACAAGCAGGGCTATTTTTGGGCAGGAATGTGTAGGAACGGAGTTCCGGCTGGCTCCCAAGTTGGCCATGCCCAGCAGGAACACATTAGCATAACAGGCCACACCCAACAGCAGAAATCCATTAGGATTGGCTTCATTAGAGGTGTGTGGCCTAACATGCAAAGGAGTTCCTGCTACAAAAAAAGCCCTGGGTTTTGACAACAAACAAGGTAAACAGAAGAAGAAGGGAAAGGTGGGTGTGGCTGGATAACCACACTTCTGGCAAAATGGGGGTGCGTCCTAATGAGCTGTGCTGGCAGGGGTGTGGCCTAATATGCTAATGCATTTCTGGTGTTGGGTGTGGCTTGTTATGCTAATGAGTTTCTGCTGGGCTTTTTCTACAAAAAGAGCCCTGAGTACAAGGCAGCCTCATGTATGTTTTATGTGCGAGCTCACACGGCCCACCCGTGCCACTTCCCTGGTTGGCCTTGCCCATACCTCGTATTCTTCCATCATCTTGCGGATGCCGGCGCCCTTCTGCCCAATAATGTAGCGGTGCAGGTCGAAGGGGACATCTACATCCACCGTGATGGGGACCAGAGCCTAGGAGGTCAGGAGGACACAGCTTCAGAATTATGGTATAAGCAGGATTTGGGGGAGGGGGGCGAAGAACTATTTGCAGATGGAGGGCCAGGGGGGCAAGAAGGGTGGTACACGCCGCACCCTAGTCCACATCTCTAGTGCCTCCTCCCCGCAGAGGCCTGGCGCTTCATAAGTATGGGAGGATCGGCAAAAATGGCATTCGAAAATTGGCCACATCAGCTACTAGCGCTGGGACTAGAGATGTGAAGGCCCGGGAAAAAAACGGAAAAATTCGGGGAAAAACTGTTTTTTTTCCGTTTTTTTCCTGAAGCCTTTTTGTTTTTTTCCAAAAAATTGGAAAAATTGAAAAAAGAAAAGAAAAAAAATTGATTATGGAACGTTTTATTTTAACATGATGAATAAAATATTTTAAGACAAGGTGTTCAAATATTTTCCAAATCATTTCTAATATATATATATGGTATCAGATTGATCTAATTTCTGTGCACTGAGGACACGCAAGTCCTAGGTTACAAACTGAACTCTCCAATGCAAGAACAAGATGCACTTCTTCCTTTAGGAGGTGCGATTGTCAGAAGAAAAGAAAAAAGTTTCAGTTTTGTTTTTGCATGTGGGTGGGTATTCTGTTTGTAATAATTGTTTGGATACACTATATTTTTAATATGCTAGTTGTGATAATTTCATGCCAAGTAAAAATGCCCATAGTCATATTTTATGTTCCTAAAGTAACAGAATGACTTTCAACCTAGAAAAGACAAAAGAGATGCTAATGTAGCATTTTTAAAAATTTTCCAAAATTTCCCTTTTTTTTCTGGGAAAAAACTGGGGGGGGACGGGGGACGGGGACGGTTTTTTTTCCAAGCTTCAAAATTTCCGGAAATTTTACATCTCTAGCTGGGACTTCAGTGAAAAATCAGTCTTGCCCCGGCTGAGAGGGTGTGAAGCAAGTCCAAATGTAGCACCTTCTACCGGTTGATCAGGAAAGTGTTTATTGCATTGAAAAACGTTACAAAATGCCTCTTGGGGGGGGGGACCCCAAAGGCAAAATTGACTGTTCCCGATTGAAGGAGTCCAGCAGAGAGTTTATGGGAAGAGTTACTGGGAAAAGACAAATAATGCCGGGAAAAATCGAAGGCAGCAGGAAAAGAGGAAGAGCCCACCTGAGATGGGCTGACTCAGTCAAGCAAGCTGTGGCCCCTCCGTTTGCAAGACCCGAGCAAGGCTGCCAACAGGATGTTTTGGAGGCCATTCGTTCATATGAGTTCCTGACATGCCCAGGGAAATGCTGATCGCCACTATGGGGCCAGGGATCCATTTCCCTCCGGGCCATTTTGGCCGGGGGAGGATCTTGGAGGTTTATTGTCATCTTCTGGGGACGCAGCAGGAGCCTGTGGGGGAATGTTTGCGGGAGAGTATTTGTGGATTTCTTGCACTGTGCAGGGGGTTGGACTAGATGACCCTGGAGGTCCCCTTTCAACGCTCTGATTCTATACGGCCACCAGGGCTATTTTTGGGCAGGAACGCACAGGAACGGCGTTCCGGCTGGCTCCCAAGCTGGCCACGCCCAGCAGGAACTCATTAGCATAAGCCGTACCCAACAGCAGGAACTCATTAGGATTGGCTACATTAGGGGTGTGTGGCCTAACATGCAAAGGAGTTCCTGCTACAAAAAAAGCCTTGGGTTTTGACAACAACCAAGGTAAACAGAATAAGAAGCAAAAGGGGTGTGTGGCTGGATGACCACACTTCTGGTAACATGGGGGTGTGGCCTAATATGTTAATGTGCTGTGCTGTTTGGGTGTGGCCTAATAGGCTAATGAGTTCCTGCTGTTGGGTGTGGCCTATTATGCTAATGAGTTCCTGCTGGGCTTTTTCTACAAAAAGAGCCCTGACGTCGGCCACCATAAGTTGGAAGTGACTTGGCAACACTTAACACACACGGTAGAACGTGCAGGACGTGGACCTGAGCTCGGATCTTAAGTCACGCACGGCCTTGGCCGAGTCTCTCTGAAGCGGCCCTCGAGAAGCAAGACCAACCGGGGACCCTCAGCAGCCTTCCTCCTCCCAGCTATGAGAACCGAAGTCTTCGTGCCGTCAGCCCGGCTGGACCCTCCCTGCCAAGGTGCTCTTCTCCCCCTCTCCCACCCGGACAAATGGCACGGGATCCCTACCAGTAATGCCACCCGTGCCGACTCGCACTTCTCCTTGCGCCCCGAGATGAAGATGGTGTCACATTTGCGGGGGGCCGAGTCCGGCTCGGGACTGATGTCACCGTTTTCCTGAGGCTGTGCTTCTGAACCTGGTGGGTGCGGACAGGAGAGATTCGGGGTGGGAGGGAGAAGGAGAAGAGATTGGATTTATACCCTGCCCTTCACTACCCGAAGGAGTCTCAGAGCGGCTTACAGTCTCCCTCCCCTTCCCCTCCTCACGACAGACACCTTGTGAGGTAGGTGGGGCTGAGAGAGCTCTCTCGAGAACTGCCCTTGAGAGAACAGCCCTGAGAGAACTTGTGACTGACCCAGGGTCACACCAGCAGCTGCAAGTGGAGGAGTGGGGAATCAACCCGGTTCTCCCAGATTAGAGTCCGCCGCTCTTAACCACTGCACCAAACTGAGAGGAAGGGAAGATGCTGAAAAAAACATAAGCTGCCTGCAAGAAAACCCAACGCTCCAGCCTTGAAACTGGGGGCTGCTACTCATCCTTCCCCTCCCTCCCCCCCTACCTGGATTGTCATCTCGCTCTGGGAACTTGATCTGCACGTCGTGTTCTCGAGTGATCTGCTGCACCCGGTGACCTTTGGCTCCCATGACAACGCGGTGGAAGCGCTGCGGGATGACGCATTCCAGCACCACCTGAGCCTCCTGCGCACGGGTCGGGAGACAAAGAATTAGAGTGTGACAGGAAGGGGCGGTAGAGCTCAGTGGTTTAACACCTGGCCTGCATGCAGAAGGTCCCAGGTTCATTCCCCGGCATCGCCGGTTAAAGGGTCTCTGCTCGAGAGAGATGCTGCCAGACAAGTAGACAACACCAAGCTGGATGGACCAGTGGACTAACTCGGTATGGCGGCTTTGGAAGGGAGCGTTACTGGAGTGCACGGCAGAAATGAGCCAGGCAGGAGGCATTACTGAACATTTGGAAAAACCGGAAGAGAGAGTTGACAGAGTCATCTTTCAGACAATTAGCCCCTTATGTCTAGCATGGGCCAAGGACAAGGGAAGATACCACAGGCGTATCTTAAGCCTGCCCACCATCGGGCCCGTAACCAGGACTTTGTGGCTTGTTGGGCAAATTTTTTGCTGGTGGGGCTGAACGTCTCAGTGCGGGAAGAAAAGCCGTTTAGCCAGCAGAAAGCTGTGACCAGGATAGACCTCTCAATCGCAAGCTGTCGACCACTTTAGATGACAGTTCTCAGCTGCTGCAAGTTAATCACTTCTGCCAGCCTAAGCAAGAATTCTGATGACAAGCCAGCAGGTGGGAATGATGCCTTCTACAGTCAAGAAAGCTCACACTTATGCAGAAAAACTCCCTTAAAGGAGACCAGTTTATTGACACAAAGTTAGAAGGGATCCTAGAGGTCACCTACTCCAACCCCCCTTGCTCAGTGTGGGAATTAGTCAACTACATCACCCTATTCTGCTTAAAGGAGCGCACACCTTTAAAAATATTTTTAAATGATTGAAAAAAGCATTTACAGGAGACATTCTTGTGGGGCTGTGCCTTTAAAAAAGGGGGTGGCGCCCCCCAAAGCCCCACTGTAGCTACCGGCCTGCCCACCATTCAGAGGGCCAACGCGCACTTACCAGGTCACCGATGATCTCTAGGATGCGCTTCTTGGCTGCCTCCACACAGTCCTTGGCTCCCTTGAGCGTAACACGATCACTCTGGACACCAGTCCGGGGGAAGCTCACGATGACGCCCCCATACTCCTCGGCGATCTCTCGTAGAACGTGGCCCCGGCGTGCCACAAAGTGGCGGTGGTACTTGGGCTCCACCAGCATCGAATCCTCAATGATGTTATCCTGGGCAGGGGAGAAAATGGCGGCTCCTTTCTCAAGCTTCCATGCCAAAGCCTCCCCTCCGAATCACACATATTCCAAGGAAGACGTTGTTTGGCTTTGCTAAACTGCCTCCCCATCTGGATTCAGAAGTTCTGGAGAGCTAGCTCTGAGTCCAGCAGCACTGCATTCTGGGACACAAAACCTCCTAGTTCTCCCTGGCCCTAAAGAGGCCAGACTGGCCATCACCATGGCTACGGCCTTTTCTGTGGCAGCGCCACCCCGGGTAGAGCGAGCTTCTGGAGGATATCAGGGCCCTGCAGAACTTGCTAGAATTCTGCAGGGCCTGCAAGACGGAGCTCTTCCACCAGGCATTTTGTCCACATTTGACCATATCTAACATCTCCAGGGCTCTTTTTGTAGAAAAAGCCCAGCAGGAACTCATTAGCATAATAGGCCACACCCAACAGCAGGAACTCATTAGCTTATTGGGCCACACCCCTGACAGCGCAGCTCATTGGCACATTAGGCCGCACCCCCATGTTACCAGAAGTGTGGTCATCCAGCCACACCCACCTTTTGCTTGTTATTCTGTTTACCTTGCTTGTTGTCAAAACCCAGGGCTTTTTTGTAGCAGGAACTCCTTTGCATGTTAGGCCACACACCCCTAATGTAGCCAATCCTAATGAGTTCCTGCTGTTGGGTGTGGCCTATTATGCTAATGAGTTCCTGCTGGGAGTGGCCAACTCAGGAGCCAGCCGGAACTCCGTTCCTGAGCGTCCCTGCCCAAAAATAGCCCTGGCGTATATCTGGTTTAACATCAGAGCCTTCCCGGGGAACTTGCCACTGCCACTCTTGTATTGACTGACTCCCGTCACAAAAATATTGGATATGGGAATATTGGAACATGTTCACCGCTGAACAGGGAAACTGTGAATGTCTAGCACTTTAGATTTTATGTCGGTCTTAACTGTTTTAAAAATGTTATGTAAGCCGCCCTGAGCCGGCTTTGGCGGGGTATAAATCTAATAAATAAACAAATTAGACTAACAAAATTGGGGGGGGGGGGGAAAGCTTCAGCTGGCAAAGGGCGCTCTGACTCTCAGGAGCTTCTAGCCTGGAAATCTTGCTGGTCTCCACGGCGCTGCTGGACTTGAATTCAGCTCTTCTGCTAAGACCAGCACAGCTACATTCCATAGAAGTTTTGAAGCCTCCGGAATCTTTCATGCTACCAGAGGCTAAGCAGCCAGGGAGGAAGGGAAACAGAGAAAGGGAAACAGAAGTGGGTTTGCTGAGAGATCAGGCCCTGTCCCACCGTGAGCCAAAGGTAGTTCACGTTTGCAGTGCTCACCTTTGGTGGCTTGGGAGTGGCCAATGGCCACCACTGTGCCAAGTGCCCCGACCTGGAATGGCCCAGGCTGGCCCGATCTCATCGGCTTTCGGAAGTTAAGTAGGGTTGGCCCGGGTTAGTGCTTGGATGGGAGATCAACAGGGAAGTCCAGGGTTGCTAAGCAAGGGCGGACCGACGGCAAAGCACCTCTGATCGTCTCCTTGCTTCGACAATCCAATGGGGGTTGCTATGTTGGATGTGGCTTGGCAGCACCTTCCCCCGCCAACGGCTGACGGCATTAACTCGGGACTGAAGTCTGTAAGTTGGGCTTTGGGAAAGAAACCAAGTTCAAACCCGGTTCTGTTAGGACAGGGAACGGAGTGAGGTCGACAAGACACATTCCCAGGGCTTTTTTTTTGTAGAAAAAGCCCAGCAGGAACTCATTAGCATAATAGGCCACACCCAACAGCAGGAACGTATTAGCATATTAAGCCACACCCCTGACACCACAGCTCATTAGCATATTAGGCCACGCCCCCATGTTGCCACACTCACCTTTTGCTTCTTATTCTGTTGACTTTGTTTGTTGTCAAAACCGTGGGCTTTTTTTGTAGCATGAACTTCTTTGCATGTTAGGCCACACACCCCTAATGGAGCCAATCCAAATGAGTTTCTGCTATTAGGTGTGGCCTATTATGCTAATGAATTCCTGCTGGGCGTGGCCAACTCAGGAGCCAGCCGGAACTCCGTTCCTGTGCGTTCCTGCCCAATAATAGCCCTGCACATTCCTGCGTAACACCTCACAGATGCAACGTGAGGCTGAACTGCTCCTCGGAACTCCTTTGAAGAACAGCTTCTGAGTTCCTGAGGAGGAGGGGGAGGAGATTAGATTCATACCCCGCCCTTCACCACCCGAAGGAGTCTCAGAGCGGCTTACAATCTCCTTTCCCCTCCCCTCCCCACAACAGACACACAATGAGACAGTGCTCCCTCTAAGCTGTGGAGTCTTGTGAGCAAAAATTCTAATTTGTGGGCCACTGGCATTAAAGTTGTGAGCGAGTGATTTGGCTGCTCCATAGATTAGTTTGCTCCGGAGCCATCCCTCCTGAGCGAAGACAGAAATGCGTGAGCTGAAGGCTAAAAAACTGTGAGCTAGCTCACACTAACGCAGCTTAGAGGGAACACTGCTGAGGTAGATGGGGCTGAGAGAGCTCTTTCGATAACTGCTCCTGAGAGAACCACTCTGAAAGAACTTGTGACTGACCCAAGGTCACACCAGCAGCTGTATGTGGAGGAGTGGGGACTCAGACCTGGTTCTCCCAGATTAGAGTCCGTGCTCTTAACCACTAAGCCAAACTGGCTCTCTCTGGACCACCTGACTACGAGAAGAGGGACTGGAGGGTTGCCATGCTGGGACACTTCCCATTTCAAAAATGGCAGTGGCAAGCTGGACTTGGGGTCTTCCGGAGAGGACTCTCTATCAAAGAAAGGGGCAGCTGCCCCTAAAAGTCCTTATAAATTACGTAAGAGACTGGGCAAGGGAAAATGAAGGCTGAAGGACTCTGAATTGTGCCTTTGAAAATATTGATACTAGATGCTTAGGGGTCTTCCTTGTTATCAGTTAAATTTAAGATTTGAAAAAGATAATACTATACTTGACTCAGTTCGTAATGGGATTAGTGTGATTGAGAGATAACGTATGTTAAGCTAATTTGATGATCTCCTCTCTTGGGTTTTTAGGTAGCAGTGGGTATCTTTTCATTATCCCTAAATGTAGCCCCCCTTTCCTCATTTCTGTTGTGGTTTGTAGTCTTAATAAAAATGCAATAAAAAAAACCCCTCTGGGGGGGCAAAAAAATAAAATAAAAAATGGCAGAAATAAAAACAGCCTTCCGGAGACTGCTTGGGACGTGCAGCTCCATCCTCTCCGAGCCGTTAAACCCTCTGCCCGTACCCCTGCCTGCCTTTCCGCGGTGTTTCCGGTACGCCTACCAGGTTCCGGATCAGGCTCTCCAGCTCGTGCTGAGCCTGCTGCACGGCATCCTCCTTCCCGACGATGGTGATGAGCTCCTGGTCTCTGTCGTCGGGCGTGGGGAAGATGATGCGGGCGCCGGTGCGGTCTCTCACTTTGCGGATGTTGGCCCCGCCGCGCCCAATCAAGAACTTGTGGTACTCCAGCTTGGCGTGCAGCTCTACCGAGTGGTTGTTGATTTGCTGGAGGGGAGAAAGGGGCGGGACGGGGAGGGAAGGTCGGAGGGCGCCGAAGAAGCCGTCCACAAGGGGCAGGCCCTTCTTCAACAGACAGTGACTCCCCAAGGCAAATTCACCACCCTCTGGCTGTGGGTGTTCAGCCCTGAGGGTAAAATAATGGCGTTGCCCTGAGGTTTTATGCCCCCATCTTCTAAATCTGTGTACTGCTGTTGTTTTCTCTACTGTGAGAGAGCTCTCCACATAGTTGCTTCACCTGTGGATAAGGTCTACTGGGACTCTTATGTCACAAACCCCCAACGGGGTCTCCACAGATGCTATGGCAACTACCGTACCTTTTCCTGGCACCCACGAGGCACTTCCAGAAAATGGGTGGGGCCAGCTGGGTTTTGCTCAGCAAGGCATCTGATTGGCTGTGCTGTGCAGATTTTTTAAAGGGTGGCTTTGGCACCAGCTGCCACCACAGAACTTGAATCTCCCACTACGTGGACCTCCTGATGGTACCTGACCTCACTGGTGGGTGGACCTCCTGACGGCACCTAGTATTTTGAGCTGGACTGGATGGGCCACGCCACTGGCCTGATCCAACATTGGCATCTCTTATGTTCTTAAGGTAAGCTACGGCAGCCATTTTGTGGCAGCGTCCACTTCCTTTGACAGCCATTTTAGGGCTGCGTCCACCACCCTGTGTCCAAATTCTGAGGTGCCTGCAGGCTCGAAATGTCACATTAACCGGCAGGATCTGTTTTCAGCTTGGCTGTCAGCAGCCTCGCGGATTTCACCACGAAAAAAGAGCCAGAATAAAGACACAAGCTGAGAAGAGGTGCTCCTCCTCTGGCCTATTCCAACGGAGATTTCGGATCTCCGCAGGGCTTTTTTTGTAGAAAAAGCCCAGCAGGAACTCATTAGCATAATAGGCCATACCCCACGGCAGAAACTCATTAGCATATCCAGCCACACCCCTGATAGCACAGCTCATTAGCTTATTAGGCCGCACCCCCATGTTACCAGAAGTGTGGTCATCCAGCCACACCCACCTTTTGCTTCTTATTCTGTTTACCTTGTTTGTTGTCAAAACCCAGGGCCTTTTTTTGTAGCAGGAACTCCTTTGCATGTAGGCCACACACCCCTAATGTAGCCAATCCGAATGAGTTTCTGCTGTTGGGTGTGGCCTGTTATGCTAATGAGCTCCTGCTGGGCGTGGCCAACTCGGGAGCCGGCCGGGACTCCGTTCCTGTGCGTTCCTGCCCCAAAATAGCCCTGCATCTCCGGTACCTTCTCCTCGGCGAGCTGCAGCAGCTGGCGCTTGGCCCTCTCCACCTCCTCGCCAGGCCCTCGGATGGTGACCTTGTCGCTCCCCGAGCCCTCGGAAGGGAAGTGGATGTGCACCCCGCCGCACTCCTCCATGATGGAGCGCACCAGCCGCCCCTTGGCCCCGATCAGCGAGTTGTGCAGCTTGGCCGGGATAGAGACGTCCACCTCTTTGATGTTCGCCTGAGAGGGGAGGGAAAGGAAGAGATGAAAGGAGGGCTACAAAAACCCCTCTCTTGGCTCAAGGCGGGAGAAACGGCACTCGGTCACAAAGCAGGGGGCGGGTGATCATTCGGATGGTCTCTTGGGGGTTTCGGGATGGGGTTGGGGGTGGGTGGGGGAGACTAGAGAGGAAACGGCTTCACACACCCACCAGCTCCCTCTGGATGGCCAGGATGCGGTCCCGAGCGCCTTCGCAGTTGGCCTTCTTCCCGGTTATCAGGATCACCTCCGAGTTGCTGTTTTCTGTGGGGAGGTCAATCTTGGTATTGGTTTCCTCGCGAATCTATTGTGAAGAGACAGTATCAAACCTGGACCCTGGAGGCCTGGTGGCTCAATGAACACTAGAAAAGGAAGCATCTCTGTGACCCTTTGAGATGCTAGGCATGGAAAAGCGCATGCCTTCAAGCAGGCCTTTTTTTGTAGAAAAAGCCCAGCAGGAACTCATTAGCATAATAGGCCACACCCAACAGCAGAAACGCGGTATATTAGGCCACACCCCTGACAGCACAGCTTATTAGCACATTCGGCCACACCCCCATGCCTTCCCTTGGCTTGCCTGGGCGCACCGCAGCTGCAGGGAGCCCTGGCAAACCAGCTCTTGGACAGGTCAGGGAAGGCATGGGGAGACATTTAAATGCCTCCCCGATCCTTCCAGGGGGCCCCTGGCCTGCCCGCCTCAGAGTCGCCGGGTGTGTGTGTGTGTGTGTCGCTCTCCAGGCCTTCCCTCTGTAGCCATGCATGCAGATGTTTTGGCTGTAGTGGGCGTGGCCAACTCTGAAGCCAGCCGGAACTCCGTTCCTGTGCGTTCCTGCCCAAAAATAGCCCTGCCTTCAAGAAGGGCAAATGGTCGGAAGCCGTTTAAACCAGGTGTCTGGACCAAAGACAAACACTCTCCCGTTCTCAGGTGCTGAGCTCACAGCCACCTGGGGCCTTGGGATCCTCACTGGGTCTTGGTCCTTTTCTGAGGCTCTTTTACATCTGGGTTCCTCTCAAGGATGCAGACAGACACTCAGCAGACACTCCCAGCAAGATAGGTTAAAAATACCTCTGCATTTATTTGAATCCTTCAGATAACAAAGAGTGTTTGCTCGGCAGAAACCACTCACAAAATACAGCACTTGCAAAAAACAACTTGCACTGGGGTAATCTTGCGACCTGGCTTTCTCACCCGAAGGTTTAAGAAAGAGAGTCCACTCCCACAGGCATAGTCCTCAGCATTCCTGGTTGCAGTCCTGAAGGCCTCAGCCTCTGTTCGTTCCCTGTGTGACTACTGCCCGACGTTCGGTAAAGGCCTCTTATCAGTTGGTCAAGGCCACCAGGTGTTTTTAATTAACGCTCAGCCCCAAACAGGCTGCAACCAGCCTGTGAAAACTTATAGCTTGGTCGCATTAATAAAAGCCTAAGTTCTGTAAGTTCTAATCCTTACACCAGGACTCCCGGGTTCTGTGCTAGTAATATTGTTCAACCCACAGGTCACAAAGTCCTCCCTACCGAGTTGTGAACTCCCTACAAAGTGTGGGGTTCTGGGGGTGGGGTGTGAGGTGAGCTGCTGCCTTTTGGAAGGACCTACTACGTCGAGGTACCGTGTTTCCTGCCATCTATGCCAAGAAGAACAGCTGGACAGGGAGGTGAAGTCACTGGGTGGATTCTTCCATGGCTCTGGCCAATGGTCTATTCTCTTGCTACTTCCTGGTGCGGCCTTGTTATTTGTCCCCAAGTTTGGTCTGCTGCCTGTGGTTCTGCCCGACTCCAGTCTAGCTCCTCTTCTTCCAGTCACATGACCCCCCCCCCCATCACATGCTTGCCTTTCAATGAGCCTGGACAGGTTGAGGAGCACTGTCTTGAGCAGCCAATTTCTCAACCCAAAGGTGGGTTTACAGCTTGATTGTAAAAGGGCTTTTAAAGCTTTACTGATCGGTGCATGCTTTTGAATTTGAGTGTCACCAGGGGTCATTTCCCGCGGGAGCGCACAGGAGCGGAGCTCCGGCAGTAAGGAGCTCAGGGGGCAGGCACATGCAACAAGCCCCGCCCCCTGCTCCCAGCAGCCCTCAGTCAGGCCACGAGGAGCAAGAAGCAGCCAGGTAAGTTGCAGAGCCCCCCCCCCCGGCCTGCTTTCAGGTACAAGCTCTCCCTCCTCTGTGAGGGCAGATCTGCGCGTTCCCCCCCCCCCCAATAGCTAGAAATCCGAAATAGTCCAGTGAAGACTGAGCGGTGGGTGTTGCCTTCTGACACACTTCCGGTGATGTCAGGGGGTGTGGCATATGCAAATAAGTTATGCTAATGAGCTCCTGCACCTCCTTTTCTATGAAATGACCCCTGAGTGTCACCCTACCAAAAAGGTTGGGAACCACTGCCCTAGAGCATTCTAGGGGAAACACGGGATACTGGGTTCGACCCATCTGTCCCTAACTGGTTTAGATCTCAAAAATTTAGAAGCCATCTCTTTCTGCGACTAGCAGCAAAACACTGCTTGCATATGTGTAGGCGCGCCCCGTCGAGAAACCCGATTCTTTAACACCCTGAGCAAAAGGGATTTTGGTACGTGGGGGGGAGGGGTCTCGCATCCTTACCTTTTTGATGTTGGCGCCTCCTTTCCCAATAATGTTCTTGTGGAATTGCTTGAAGATGGGAACGGGGATGGAGAAACTGTTCTCAATCTAGTGTCGGGGAAAGAATGGTGGAATCAGTAGGGGGGGGGGCTGTTCACAGCCTGCCCTCTCGCTGCTCGAGGGAGACCACTGACCGCGCAGAAGCTGAGCTGATCCGCCCCGCTTTAGCTTAACAGCTCAACCCACGGTTTTGGCTTGCTCTGGCAAACGGGGTTGGACTAGATGACCCTGGAGGTCCCTTCCGACTCTACGAGCCTATGGATGCTGGAACCTGCCCTGCGTCCCCCTGAATCCCAGATCCCTGACTTGCTCGTTGATCCCCGCCCCTGCCCCCAGACAAATCACAGAAAGCACATCTTGTTCAGCAGAAGCACTCAAGAAGACTCTGGAGGGGGGGGGGGAAGACTTGCCTTCCCCCTCCCCTTCTGCTTTTCCAACAGCTGGGCAGTACAAGAGGTGCCCGAGTGCTCACTAAGGGCATTTTGGCCACTCTGATAGAAGGTGTGTGCGGGGGGGGGGGAGATGCAGAGTCGTGACCAATGTTCCCTCTAAGCTGTGGAGTCTTGTGAGCAAAAATTCTCCTTTGTGAGCTACTGGCATTAAAGTGGTGAGCCAGTGATTTGGCTACTGCATCAATTCGTTTGCTCTGGAGCCTTCCTTCCTGAGCTAAGACAAAAACTGTGTGAGCCGCAGGCTAAAAAAACTGTGAGCTAGCTCACGCCAACTCAGCTTAAGAGGGAACACTGGTCGTGACCATGACGGAACCCACCAGTTCTGCAATGACTTTCTGGAGATACTTGGCACACTTCTCCACCTCGTTTTTGGGGCCACGCAGCTGCACAATGTCGCTCTTCTGGGAAGGGTCCGGGAAGTTGATGATAACCTGGGGGGGGGGGGGAAACTGTGGTCAATATGCAGCCTGGGAAGAAACGTTTCCCCCCGCCCCTTCCCGGTTGTGATATTAGTGGAGACCCACCCATGACGCACTCCAGCTTGGAGCGAATAGGGAAGCGTGGCTTTACTTGCAAAGCTCAAACATTCCTTGGTGCTGAAGATGGATCTTATGTTCGTATAGACAGCTTTAAAAGGGGAACGGACAGATTCATGGAGGAGAGGTCTATCAGTGGCTACTGGCCAGGGTGACGAAAGGGAACCTCCACATTCGGAGGGAGTCAACCTCTCAATCCCAGAGCCAGGAGGCAACATCAGGGGAAGGCCTCGGCCTCTAAGCCCAGTTGTTCGCCCTCCAGAGAAACTGACTGGCCCCTGTGTGAGACAGGAGGCTGGACTAGATGGACCGCTGGTCAGATCCAGCAGGACTCTGCTTGTGTTCTGAACCAGTGCGTTTTAATCCTGGCTTTCCTCCAAAGGAGCTCAGGAAAGCATGTGTGGCTTATATGAATATATGAAGCTGTCTTCTATTGAATCAGACCATCGCTGAGGTCAACCTTTTCTAGTCAGACCAGCCGAGCAACCAGTCAGATTTTTAAGTTCCGTTTCTCCAGGCCTAAAAGGATGGCGGTGGAGAAACACTTCAGGACTCAGTGCTACTGGGACTTCTTTGAGCTGTGGTATAAAAATAATATAGCCTCGCTGGCCCAGGCTAGCCTGATCTCAGATCTTGGAAGCCAAGCAGAGGTAGGTGGGGCTGAGAGAGCTCTCTCTCAAGAACTGCTCGTGAGAGAACAGCTCGGAAAGAACTTGTGACTGACCCAAGGTCACACCAGCAGCTGCATAAGTTGGCTGTAACTTGACAGCACGTTCCGCCAAAGAACGTAGAGGAGATCTCTAGTTAAGTTTCTGGCAGCCTCCCGGAAACGCATCTGGGCAACGCTCTGAATCCTACCTCTGGGAACTTGTCACGGATCTCCTTGATCTTCTCGCCTTTCTGCCCAATGATGGTCCGGTGGAAACGCTGCTCAATGATCAAGTCTTTTGTGCGTTCGTTTTCCTAGGAAAGGCCCACAGACCATCAGAAGCAATCCGAGTCCACAGCATGGGTCATCCGTAGGCCTGTGAGGTCGTGTCTGTGCGCTTAGTGCTTGGAGTGAGCACGTTTCAGGTGACAAGCGGCAGGTGCATCATGATACCCTGCCCCCATCTCCGTGACCTGGCTATGATCCCTTGCTTTTCTCACCGGTGGGGATCCAAAACAGCCTCCAACCTCTTCCCTTCATTTTAGCCTTACAATAACCCTATTAAGGTCAGTGTCGCCTACTCTGACGGGCAGCAGTTCTCCAGGGTCTTGGGTGGAGGGTCTTCCGTATCCAGGGGTCATTTCGTAGAAAAAGAGGTGCAGGAGCTCATTAGCATAACTTATTTGCATGTGCCACACCCCCTGACATCACTGGAAGTGTGTCAGAAGGAACACCCACTGCTCAGGCTCCACTGGACTATATTGGATTGCTAGCTATTGGAGGGGGGGGGGACGTACAGATCTGTTCTCGCAGAGGAGGGAGAGCTTGTACCTGAATAAAACGTGGTCTTAAAAGTGCCACTGGACTGTTTTGGGGCAGGGGGCCGGGGTGGGGGGAGCTCTGCAGCTTACCTGGCTGCTTCTTGCTCTGACTGAGGGCTGCTGGGAGCAGGGGGCGGGGCCTGTTGCATGTGCCCGCCCCCTGGGCTCTTTACTGCCGGAGCTCCGCTCCTGTGTGCTCCTGCACCCTAACCCTAACCCTCTAAGCTGAGTTAGTGTGAGCTAGCTCACAGTTTTTTAGCCTCCAGCTCACACATTTTTGTCTTAGCTCAGGAAGGATGCCTCCAGAGCACACTAATTTATGCAGCAGCCCAACCGCTCGCTCACAACTTTAATGCAATAGCTCACAAAGTAGAACTTTTGCTCACAAGACTCCACAGCTTAGAGGGATCGTTGCCTGTGACCATATCACCTGCTACTTGAACCATTCAACTGGAAATGCTGGGGATTAAACCTGGGACCTTCTGAACGCAAAGCAGAGGCTCTACCACTCAGCCACAGCCCCACCCACTTGTGGCCGATCCATCAAAGGTACCTGGATCCCAACCGCCCTGGGTCTTGCCTTCTTGTTTCTCCTCCCAGCCTGCTGTAGTTTGAAGGGGTAGGTGGAGAGCTTAGGGATTTTTGTATCAACAGATTGTATATCAGCCCATGGGCCTTGGCAAATCCTGCCGGCAGAACCAGTACCGGCCCGACACATCTCCACAACGACTGCCCGTTTGTCTGCTGAGTTGTAAACTGGTTCAAATTTCTTTTGTTTTATGTGTGTTTTCTTCAGGGCTTTTTTTGTAGAAAAAAACCAGCAGGAACTCATTAGCATAATAAGCCATACCGAACAGCAGAAACTCATTAGCATATTAGGCCACACCCCTGATAGTACAGCTCATTAGCATATTAGGCCATACCTCCATGTTACCAGAAGTGTGGTCATCCAGCCACACCCACCTTTTGCTTCTTATTCTGTTTACCTTGTTTGTTGTCAAAACCCAGGGTTTTTTTTGTAGCAGGAACTCTTTTGCATGTTAGGCCCCGCCCCCTAATGTAGCCAATTCCAATGGGTTTCTGCTGTTGGGTGTGGCCTGTTATGCTAATGAGCTTCTGCTGGGCGTGGCCAACTCAGGAGCCAGCCGGAACTCCGTTCCTGTGCGTTCCTGCCCAAAAATAGCCCTGGTTTTCTTCTAAGTGAGCTGCCTCAAGTTCCGCGTAAGAGAAACTTGGGATATAAGAGCCGGAACGTAGTTCGTCTGAGGAGTCTCCCACCACCGTTATGTCCACTGTTGACCCCAAATTCCCTCCCTTATATGATACCGGCAATGCCAAGAGCGGGCCGCCCCCCTCCCCTCCCCGCCCCCTGCCTCCCTTACCATGCGAGCGGCCATCTCCAGCAGCTCCTTGCGGGCCAGCTGCACCCCCTGGGGGTCCCCCTCGATCCGGATCAGGTTGCTCTTCTCGTTGTCGGGGGGGATGCGGACGGAGACTTTGTGCTGTTCCTTGATGCGGTTGACTGTCAGGCGTTACGGGAAACAGTATCAGAGAGAGACTAATACCCTCCCCGCCCCCCCACCCCTTTGTGGGTCATGGTCCAGGTGAGGCATGAATGAGCATGTCAAAGGGGTGAGGGGCCCGGGGATCAGGAAGGCATGAGATTGTCACTGTCTGGTCCCTTTCCAAAAAAGGGCTCTGCCCTCCTCATTCTAGCAAGTCTTACGTGCCAAGATAAAGGCTTCAAAGGCTAGGAATGAGACTGCACAAAGGGTTATTCTGTAGATCAGGGGTGTCGAACTCATTTGTTATGAGGGCCAGATCTGACATAAGTGAGACCTTGTTGGGCCGGGCCGGGCCGGGTGTGTCACAAAATGTAATGCTAGGTAGCGGAGGTATAAACTTTATAAAGGACACAAACACAAAGGGTTGTTTTTTTTACTTAAAACAAAGACATGCTTAAACATTAGCACCCTGCAATATTTTGTTTATTTAAGTGTCTGATAACGGACACCTCTTGCTCTGAACTATTGCATCAAAATGTCTGTGCTGTTACAATCTTGAGTATGCTGTTCAGGTGTGTATCTGTAAGCTGCGAATCTACGATGATGCAGCAGCAGCAGAACTGGAAGAAGAAGCAGAAGACAGCCAGTTCCACTGCGAGCCTGACAGAAGCCCTCTGGGGGGCCTGATTCGGCCCCCGGGCCACATGTTTGACACCCCAGCTGTAGATGACTGTCACAAGGCATAGGGTTTGCATCCTGACAGAATCTACCCTCTGCCCAGTGTTTTAAGTTGTACAGATAGGCTGGAACCTGTGTAAAAGCCAGCAGGGCACCTTCAGCAGAGTTATGCAAAACCAACTGGAAGACGGTGTAAAAGCCAGTGTTCTTCATACAGCTAGCTAGCAGAACAGAGGTTTCTTTGAGGCAGAAGTTTCAAAAGCATTTGCACAGAACACGCATGCAGTGACACACAACCATGTACGCAAAGAGCCTTAGCTGTTGAGATCAACAAGAGAAGCCCAGGACACACAAAAAACTCACTGTTGGCTCCATTCTTCCCTATCAGATGGCGGTGGAATCGCTGATCTATGAGCGCTTCGGTGTAATCCATTCGACCGAGCTGTAAAGGCAGGGAGGGGGACACAGACACCGTTTCTCAGTTGTGGAGAAAGACTCTGCTGGAAGGCAGCAATTCTACCGAGCATCCTTTGTGAGTCAACGAACACTGCTCCAAAGCCTGGGCTTCAGTGCCATTAATGCAGCTCCCTGGTTAACCTGCTTGTGCATGCGTCTGATTCATCGTCCCTAGGAAAGAATGAATAACCTTGCAGAGAGGGGCAGTAACTGAGTGCTCACCAGATCCCGAATGATTTCCTGTATCTGCATCTGAGCCAATTCCACCTCTTCGGTGGGTCCCTCCAATGTGATCTTCTCGTCTCCATCCGTGAATTCAATGTGAACCTGAAACAGGTGAGCAATATTTTAAATAGGCAGGCCTCGCAGGTAGAGGAAGACATGAGACTCAGGATGAAATCGTGTCTTTTCAGTTTAAGGTGCACTGGGGTGCTTTACGGTGCTTACCTGTGGTGAGAATGGCTTCCAAAGTAAGACAGGTGCACTTTTGCAAAAGTTTAGTTTTTAGATTATGTGCTACAAGTGTATCTAAAGGGGGGGGGATGAACAGTGATAGTAAGCATGTGGACTAGTAACTCCACAGCCTTTTGCAGCCTTTATTTGCAAGGCTGCTTCTGCTATCCAGCAGCAAGGGCTTAAAGACACAAGAACAGAACCGTGTCAATTGGTTTGTATGCAAATAACTTTTAGCAAAGTAGAATAAAGTTTACGAAAAACCAGTGGTCAATATGTATCAATTTTCCTGTTTTCCAAACACTAACTTGCATTGGTTACAAGGTAATAAAACATAGTTGCTTGCACATCACACACTGTTCAAAACAATGCAACACTTGAACTCGTAACAAGAAGACTGTCCAAAATATGTTCATAGAGTGAAGAATGTTATCAACAAGACCGGATTCTCAAGATAACTAATTTACTAACATAGAAGCAGTGCAAAGCAAGAACCCTACAAGTATATTGTCTTATTAACAAATTTAATACTAACATTTAGTTTAACTGGGATATGATCTCTCACTCTTGGGTTTTTAGTTAGTGTGGGTATCTTTTCTTTATCCATAGATGTAGTCCCTTCCCAATTTTTTCTTTGTAGTTTTGTAGTCTATTAAAAAACAATAAAAATACCTCTTCGGGGGTTTCAAAAAAACAAACAAAACAAGACCGGATAGCTCAAAAATTTAAGATGACTTGACAAATGTTCCAGTATGTGCTGTTTCCAATTTTCGTCCTCAGAAATCGAACGATTCAGTGTTCACAAACCCTGTTAATTAACTAGAGGAGATACTCTGTCTCACTATTGGGAATACCATAGTAATGTATAAGATGATGGTAAAGACTGTTGGATGCTTGTTTGTGAACAGTGAAGCCTTCGATGTCTGAGAAAGAAAACTGCAAACAACACATACCAGAATGCTTGCCAAATCATCCTAGAGCAATCTGGTCTTGGTAACATCCTTCATTCTGTGAATACATTTTGGACAGTCTTCTTGTTATGAGTTCAAGTGCTGCATTGTTTTGAACAGTGTGTGATGTGCAAGGAACAGTGCTGTTTTTTTAACCTTGTAACCAAAGCAAGTTAATGTTTGGAAAACAGGAAAACCGATACATATTGACCAATGTTTTTTGGTAAACTTTATTCTAATTGCTAATAGTAATTTGCATGCAAACCAAATTACACAGTTCTGTTCTTGTTTCTTTAAGCTCTTACTCAGATGACGATCCCTTCTTATCCATGAGGAAGGGGCAAAGAACACACTTTGACTGGAGATTTTACCAGGCACTGGAAACTAGAGATGTGAAGGCCCGGAAAAAACCCGGAAAAAATTCGGAAAAAAAACGTTTTTTTTCCTGAAGCCTTTTTTGTTTTTTCCCAAAAAATTGAAAAAAGAAAAGAAAAGAAAAGAAATTGATTATGGGAACGTTTTATTTTAACATGATGAATAAAATATTTTAAGACAAGGTGTTCAAATATTTTCCAAATCATTTCTAATATACAAGATGCATTTCTTCCTTTAGGAGGTGCGATTGTCAGAAGAAAATAAAAAAGTTTCAGTTTTGTTTTTGCATGTGGGTGGGTATTCTGTTTGTAATAATTGTTTGGATACACTATATTTTTAATATGCTAGTTGTGATAATTTCATGCCAAGTAAAAATGTCCATAGTCATATTTTATGTTCCTAAAGTAACAGAATGACTTTCAATCTAGAAAAGACAAAAGAAATGCTAATGTAGCATTTTTTCAATTTTTCCAAAAATTTCCATTTTTTTCCGAAAAAAACTGGAAAAAAACGGTTTTTCCCGAGCTTCAAAATTTCCAGAAATTTTACATCTCTACTGGAAACCTTTCCTTCGAAGCAAATGGGACCTATATGTCTAGGAGCGAAGTGTGGTACCCATCTGTGGCGATCTACCTCCACTGGGCCACGAGGACACTAAACAGATTTCCCTGCAAACTTGGGAAGATCTCCCCAGGTCTTCAAAAAATCTGAAGTCTTTGAAAAGATACGGGGGTGGGGTGGATTTAAATTCTTCAGAGCTGGCAGCAGAAGACACCGGGAGCCGCTTCAGGCCCAGAGCGAATCCCAGACCAGGGCCGGCCCCAGCTTATTTTTCACCCTAGGCGAGGATCCCTTATGCCCCCCCCCCGTACGCCCACCAATTTTCAAAAAGAAATGCATTTTAGGAAGAATAAAAACCACAAATAATCAAGAAACTCCCGGAGTACGGGGCCGGGTGCAGTTTGGTGCCCCTAAGGGCCATCCCGCTCTAGGCGATTGCCTAGTTCGGCTAGTGAGTGAGCCGGCCCTGTCCCAGACGCTGCTGCTGCAGCGGCCAGGCACAACGGGGGAGAGATCTGATCCCCCCCCCCGCGAGTCTCACAGGCTCCGCACTTGTTGTATATTAAGATCCAATGCTCTTCAAGTTGTACATCTATGACAGTTCTGTTCAACTTCGGCAAACCCGGAGGCTGGCTGAACCAGGATCACTTGCCTTAGGTAGCTGCTGGGTAATTCTGCCAATGTTCTGCCCTTTCTTTCCGATTATAAAACGATGTAACCAGGCCGGGGCCGTTACTTCAGCTACCATCACACTCTTCGCCTGAAGGAGTAAGCAAGAGAAAGGTCAAGGGAAAGCAGACACACACAGTTGCCTTCCTGGGGCTGACTACCTGGATTAGTATTGTCGGTTTTCGTTTAAAGAGACATCCTCAGTAGCCCGCAACACAAGCATTTCCCATCCACTTTGGGAGTTTTGAAATACCTGCGTTCTGCCACTAGGTGCCGCTACAGCGTCATCTGCTTAGGCATCCACCCTACACCACTCTAGCGACCCAAACACCAGAAGTGATGTCCACTGCTATGCGAATGATCCGTTGTTTCAGCAAAGGTCTGATTCATCGACACATACTGAGGAAAAGCAGAATTATCCAACCCGACTAAACGCAGTTGGACTTCTTCCCAAGAAGCCAGCAAACACAACCATGGCAGGCAGTGGCTGGTAGGTGCGGAGAGGAGACGGAAAACCACAACAAAAAGCGAATCTTTGAAAGACCCGCCACCCTCTACTGGGATAGGAGACATTTTCTACTACGTGAGTTTCAAAAACTGCGAGCCACACAAGGAAGAGAAAGGTGATCCGTGCAAGTCTTTGTGTACAGAAGCCCTCAGAGGGACACACGATGGGGAGCCACAAAAGCCACCTTGCCTACCTCTGAAATCTCTCCTAGGCACCTGACACTGCTTCTCTTTCAGAAGAAGAAGAAGAGATTGGATTTATACCCCGCCCTTCACTACCCAAAGGGGTCTCAGAGCGGCTTACAAACTCCTTCCCCTTCCCCTCCCCACAACAGACACCCTGTGAGGGCTGAGAGAGCTCTTGACAGAAACTGCTCTTTTTCAAGGACAGCTCTTATCAGAACTACGCCTTGCCCAAGGTCATCCAGCCAGGTGCAAGTGGAGGAGTGGGGAATCAAACCCGGTTCTCCCAGATTAGAGGCCACGCACTTAACCACTACACCAAACTGGCTCTCCCCGCATGCCGCAGAGGGCAAGCCTTCCCCCTTCCAGGTAAGGACCACCCACTTCCAGGGTTCCAGCTCACGTCACGCCCGCAAGACTCACAGCGGCAGACTCCCTTTACCTTGGCGTAGACCTGAGTCAAAGCTGGGCCCAGCTTGTCGGGCTCCCCCCGGAGGATGATCGTTTCCGAGCTGCTTTCGAGGGGAGGCATCTCCACAGAGACTCCAGTGGCATCCAGGATCTCTTGCAAGGTGTTGCCTTTGGGGCCGATGATGTACTTGTGCTGGGACTTCTTCACTTCCACAGAGATGGTGGTGGTCTTGCGCTTCTGGGGGGCGGTGCGGGAAGAAAGCATTTGAGACGCGGCTTTAGAGCTCAAGGAAGTACTCGAACTCACTCAGGGACAAGAGTCTTCGCAGGGCTCTTTTTGTAGCAGGAGCTCCTTTGCATATTAGGCCACACACCCCTAGTGTAGCCAATCCTCCAAGAGCTTACAGAGCTCTTCTTACTGGGGCTACTGTAAGCTCTTGGAGGATTGGCTACATCAGGGGTGTGTGGCCTAATATGCAAAGGAGCTCCTGCTACAAAAAGAGCCCTGCATGATCCCTGCGATGACTTCCTTTAACCCTGTCGAACGGCTACTGGTCATATGGGCACCTCCAGAATTCTGACACAGGGTGGCGGGTACCGCCACAAAATGGCTGCCGCAGAAGAGGGACCAGCTACGAAATGGCGGCTGCAGCCGACTTCCAGCCACACAGTGAAGATCCTTGTCCTGCAGTGCCAGCTGCCCAAGCAAGGTGTTTTTTTAAAGAATCTGTACAGCCAACCAATGCTCCCACTACGCTGTAGAGTCTTGTGAGCAAAATCTCTACTGGCATTAAAGTTGGGGTGAGCGGTTCGGCTGCTGCATGAATTAGTTTGCTCCGGAGCCCTCCTTCCTGAGCTCAGACAAAAATGTGTGAGCGGGAGGCTAGAACACTGTGAGCTGGCTCACACGAACTCAGCTTAGGGGGAACTCTGCAGCCCACCAAATCTCCAGTGGCCAATCAGAAGCGTTGCTGGGCAAAACCCCCACCTAGCCCCACCCACTTTCTTAAAACACCTGGAGAGCACCAGGAAAGATGTCAGCAGGCACCACGGCGGCCACGGCTGCTACGTTGGGGATCCCTGATCTACTCCATACAATCCCAGAGGCACTATGCCTTCATATATCAGTTGCTAGACAGCATGGCTGGGAGAAGAAGAAGAGATTGGATTTATACCCCACCCTTCACTTGGAGTCCCAGAGCGGCTCACAAACTCCTTTCCCTTCCCCTCCCCACAACAGACACCCTTGTGAGGTGGGTGGGGTTGAGAGAGCTCTGACACAAACTGCTCTTTTTAAAGGACAGCTGTGCCACAGCTTGTGACTGACCCAAGGTCACATCAGCAGGTGCAAGTGGAGGAGTGGGGAATCAAACCCAGTTCTCCCAGATTAGAGTCCGCGCACTTAACCACGACACCCAACTGGCTCTCAAGAAGGCAGCTGGTCATTAGTTGAAGGCCAAATAAAGACTGTCATCCTTGCTGTATGGAGATGGGCCACATGACGCTGGAGTTCTCCACTGAAGCACAGGAGGTGTACTTTGGCACTAAAAAGCAACTGCAGTGGGGATGATAGGGTTTGCCGGTCTGCGGGTGGGGCCTGGGGATCTCCTGGGATTTCAATGGGTTAGTGACAGATATCAGTTCCCCTGACAGAGGAAACAAAGCCCAGTTTGTGACTTACCTCTGTCTTAAGAAGCACAGGGAAGAAGAAGAAGAAGAAGAAGAAGAAGAAGAAGAAGAAGAAGAAGAAGAAGAAGAAGAAGAAGAAGAAGAAGAAGAGGAAGAGGAAGAGGAAGAAGAGGAAGAAGAAGAAGAGGAAGAAGAAGAAGAGGAAGAAGAAGAAGAGGAGGAGGAGGAGGAGGAGGAGGAGGAGGAGGAGACTGGATTTATACCCTACCCTTCACTACCCAGGAGTCTCAGAGCGGCTCACAAACTCCCTTTCCCTTCCCCTCCCCACAACAGACACCCTGTGAGGTAGGTGGGGCTGAGAGAGCTCTGACAGGAACTGCTCTGAGAGAACTTGTGACTGACCCAAGGTCACACCAGCAGCTGCATGTGGAGGAGTGGGGAATCAAACCCGGTTCTCCCAGATTAGAGTCTGCGCACTTAACCATGACACCAAACTGGCTCTTGCTGTACCTGTCATCCTGCCTGTGGGCTTCCTAGAAGCAGCTGGTCAGCCACTGTATGAGGCAGAATGCTGGACCCTTGGCTGGATCCAGCATGCCTCTTCCTCCGTTCTCTCACCCATAAAGCGAATGAAAAGAGCAAGAGTCCAATAGTGCCTTAAAGGCTAACAAAAATTCGTGGCAGGGCGTGGAGCTTGCGTGAGTCACTGCTCACTTCGTCAGATACAGCACCACTTCTGACAATGACTAGCACTAGCGCGGACTCTAATCTGGGAGAACCGGGTTTGATTCCCCACTCCTCCACTTGCACCTGCTGGTGTGACCTTGGGTCAGTCACAAGCTCTGGCACAGTTGTTCTCTCAAGGACAGTTCTGTGAAGAGCTCTCTCAGCCCCACCAACCTCACAGGGTGTCTGTTGTGGGGAGGGGAAGGGAAAGGAGTTTGTAAGCCGCTCTGAGACTCCAAGTGAAGGGCGGGATATAAATCCAATCTCTTCTTCTTCACCAGTTTGGTGTCATGGTTAAGTGCGTGGACTCTAATCTGGGAGAACTGGGTTTGATTCCCCACTCCTCCGCTCACACCTGCTGGATGTCCTTGGGCAAGCCATAGTTCTGGCAAGAGCTGTTCTTGAAAAAGAGCAGTTCCTGTCAGAGCTCTCTCAGCCCCACCCACCTCACAGGGTGTCTGTTGTGGGGAGGGGAAGGAAAAGGAGTTTGTAAGATGCTCTGAGACTCCAAGTGAAGGCCCGGGTATAAATCCAATCTCTTCTTCTTCTTCTTCTTCACTTCAAGTGCAAACTGCATTGTCTGCCAGTCAGGCACAGATTACAGATAGTTTTCACTGACCTAAGAGGTGCTCCCCATTCAAGTGAGCACCAGATTATTATTTCTCAAGCGTATTAAGAACAGAGGACAGCGGACGGCACCTTAGCACAGGCATTTCATCCTGGGCAAGAGAATCGGTTTTCCTCTTCTAGGACAACACTTGCAGCACACACAGGCACGTAAAATAATGCTCTCTTCAGAGTGCTGACGCAGACACAAGCTATCCCAACTGACTGATGGCCACGCTGATTCAATAAAGACTCAGACTGCATGTGCAAGAGCACACACAAGGCCATCTAACATGAAGAGCTGATGTACACAGAAATTGTTTCCCTTTCAGGGACACACAAGCAGGAAACACAGGAACCAGTAGGTGCAGGGGTCCGATGAGGAGCTGGGAGACCTGGGTTCAAATCTTTACTCATCCATGAAGCTCCCTGGGCCCATCACTCTAAGTATGACCTATCTCGTAGGGGAGGTGTAAGGATAGACTGGGTGACCAGAGAGCCACAGATGATTGCCTGAAGCAGCTTTGAGAGGAGACCGGAATGAAAATCTGGTCTCCTGTCTGCACAGAGGTATGTACAGCACTGAAAATTCTGCTCGGCTCCCCATCTTGGTGCCAGTGACTGTATAAGGCACTAGCCTGGAAGTGGGGAGAGGCCATGACTCAGTGGTAGAGCAGCTGCTTGGTTCCAAGTTCAATCCTCCTGCATCTCCAGTTAGAGCATCTGGCGGTAGGTGATGTGAAAGACCTCCGCCAGAGACCCTGGAGATCCGCAGCCAGTCTGAGCTGACAATACTGAGATGGACCAATGGCCTGATTCGGTATGATCAACAATAGAATAGAACCACTGTAATACAAGCCGCTAAGTGATAAACATTGATGAAACTCTTTATCTTGCAAAACTTATCCTTATATTGTTGTGAACGTACAAAATTTAAGATACAGACAAGCAACTCCAAAACAATATGCCAAAAATACAATAGTGCAAAACTACAACACCACTACTAGAATGTGTGTAAGTCCCATACTGTATATCCAGACTTCATACAGGAAGGATCAAGATGAGGATTCCGGATAGAAGTCCCTCGTTTCGGTTATCTTCTTCAGTGAAACCAACTTCTAGATACAAAAATTCTCTTAGTTGTTTATCTTCCAGTAGTTTTATAATTCCCAGTTGGCATTACGTCTGACACACATTCCGAAAAACGTTTTCTTTTTCTTACAGTATATTCTCTGAGAGGGGCACCGTTCCAAAATTTCAACAGAGAAATTAATCTGAATCTTCTAATGATGCCATAGCCTAACCGAAATGTGGGACTTCTATCCGGAATCCTCGTCTTAATCCTTCCTATATGAAGTTTGGATACATAGTATTGGACTTGCACACATTCTAGTAGTGATGTTGTAACTTTGCACACATTCTAGTAGTGATGTTGTAACTTTGTACCGTCGTACTTTTGGCATATTGTTTTGGAACTGCCCGTATATATCTTAAATTTTGTAAGGATAAGTTTTGCAAGATAAAGGTTTTTGTTAATGTTTATTTATTATTTAGCGTCTTGTATATTCTCTTTTGGAGCTGCGGTGGCTCAAGTGGTTAAGACACTGAACTGCAGGCTGTGGAAGGTCAGTAGTTCAGCAGTTCAAGACCCGGGTGCCGCATGATGGAGTGAGCTCCCATCTCTAGTTCCAGCTCCTGCCAACCTAGCAGTTCGAAAGCAAGAAATTGCAAGTAGATAAATAGGTACCACTTCGGTGGGAAGGGAACAGCGTTCCGTGCGCCTTGGTGTTTAGTCATGCCGGCCACATGACCACGGAAACGTCTTCGAACAGCGCTGCCTCTTCGGCTTGGAAACGGAGATGAGCACCGCAACCCTAGAGTCGGACTCGGCTGGCTTTTGAGCAAGGGAACCTTTACCTTTACCTATATTCTGTTTTTGATCTGTATACACACTGTGATCCTTCTAATGTCAGAGACTGATTCGGTATGAGGTGGCTTCTTGTGCTCAAGCGTTTTGTCACGATGCATGCTTCAGGATCAAGAACTGCACACGAAGGTTATCTATAGCACACTTCTGCTGCCCACCCCTCAAACATAGGCATAGTTTGCAGCAGAGTTATTCAGGGCTCCTCTGGGCCGCTCACCTTATCCTCATAGATCTTGCGGATCCACAGGAGTGCCTGGGCCACGGGCTCCTTCTCGCCCGTGATGATGATCTCATCCTTGTTGACGCTGGGCGGCGGGATGTTAATGCGAGCCCCTGTTTCCTGCATGATCTCCTGCACCACCTTGTTGAAGGCGCCAGCAATGAAGGGATGGAAGGCCTTCTCCAGGCACAAACGCTCCACCGCTCGCTTATCCTGGAACGCAAACCGGATATATCCACTGGTTAGGCCTGAACGCAGCCGCGGAAGCAGCCTCTGGATGGGGGCAAGTCATATCTCCACCATCCCAAGCTTCCAAGGAGATCCCGCCCCCCCTTTTGCCACGGACCCAATGACTCCATAGGGTTTTCCAAGCAAGAGACATTCAGAGGTGGTTTGCCATGACCTGCTTCTGCGTAGCAACCCTGGGCTTCCTGGGTGGTCTCCCATTCAAGCACTAACTGGGGCCAAACCTACTTAGCTTCCAAGATCTACCAAGATCAGGTTAGCCTGGGCTATCCAGGTCAGAGCCTCCAAGAGAATAGGGACCAGGTTTCAGCTCTCATGACGCACAGACACCCCCCGTTCCTCACGGGCCAGTCACCTGCTCAGCTGAGATGAGCAGGATCTCATGCCGAGCTTTCTCGATGCCTTCTTTGGTGCCTGTGATCTTGATCTGGTTGCTGGGGTCGTCGGTCCGCGGGATGTTGATCTTGGTGGCCGTCTTCAGCTCGAGCTCCTGCAGTTTCTCGCCACTCTTGCCAATCACAAAGCGATGGTGTTCCTTGGGGATTGTGACAGTAGCTGAAGCCTGCAGGAGAGAAGGAACGTTGAGACGCTTTCCTGTTTGACACACCCACCCACCCCATTTTCTTCCCTTCTTTCCCCTTATATCTTCAGCAGTCGGCATCATATATTTGATCTGGGGTCCCTGACCTTTTTGACCCTGCGGGCACCTTTGGAATCCGGACCCACTGTGGTAGGCACAGCCACAAATGGCTGCCACCATGGGAGGCAGAGCCGGCCATGGCTTACCTTCGGTCACACGGCGAGCAACGTTTTAAAAGATCTGCCAATTGGATCTCCAGTGGCCAATCAGAAGCCCTGCTGGGTGAAAGCCTCACCTTTCCCCACCCACTTTCTAAAAGCACTTGGCGGAGACCAGGAAAGATGTTCCCGGGCGCCATGTTGGGGAACCCTGGGCTAGACTGTAAGCTCCCTGAGGCAGGGCTCTGCATTATTGAGGATTTATAATTATACTCAAAGAAGAAAGAAGCCAGCCATGGCTTACCTTCAGTCACACGGCGAGCAACGTTTTAAAAGATCTGCCAATTGGATCTCCAGTGGCCAATCAGAAGCCCTGCTGGGTGAAAGCCTCACCTTTCCCCACCCACTTTCTAAAAGCACTTGGCGGAGACCAGGAAAGATGTCCCCGGGCGCCATGTTGGGGAACCCTGGGCTAGACTGTAAGCTCCCTGAGGCAGGGCTCTGCATTATTGAGGATTTATAATTATACTCAAAGAAGAAAGAAGCCACTGCAAAGAGACAACAGGAGCTCCAATCTCCACACCTCACAGAGAGGGAACATATTTAGGAGCGACAACTGCCGCACACAGCGGTGAATACAGGCCTATCAGTTACCCGTTCAAGTCTTCGTCCTCTTCTTTCACTCGTCAAAAAAGGGGGACGTTACGCAACAAGGAAAGAAGGGGTACCCAGAAGGAAAGCCTGAAGCAGAAAGAAAAGCCACGCCGCCAAGGCAACGCTGGCCGGGACGCACCTGGGTCTGAAGCCGAGCGACTATTTCCTTCCGAGCCTTCATGACAGAGTCCAGTTTGCCGGTCACCATGATAGACAAGCCCTGGTCCTTGGCCAGGGAGAGCTCAATGTGAGCCCAGGTCTTCTGCATGATCTCCACACAAACCTTGGCCTCGTCGCCTTCTCCAAACTGGCTGTTGTCCTTGTAGCGTCGCTCTTCCAAGGGGACGTGAAACACCTGCCAAGAGGAACCACATTGGCAAGGGGCAACAACAACAAACAACTGTGAGCTGAATTGCCCGCAAAAGTATATCCAAAAGGAGACTTCAACAAAGTGAAATGCACATGTAATCAGTAATGAATCTATACATATAATCCATCATGGGAAAATACAGAAGTCCAAAGGATCCATGGAAGGAAAAAAACAAAGTCCAGAGTAGATATCCAACACTTTTCCTAGGTAGTAATGCAGTGTTTCAGACTTCTGGTCCTTCCTCAGGAACAAAGAACGACTACAGGAAGTCTCATTCCAATTTCTTTACAGGACAATTCTATTCAGTTTCTTTATGGGCCAGGTCTCCTGTTTACATAGAAGCAACCTTGAGAGGTGCATATTAAAGCTTAGGAGACCTGGCCCATAAAGAAACGGAATAGAATTGTCCTGTAAAGAAATTGGAATGAGGCTTCCTGTAGTCGGTGCTTTGTTCCTGAGGAAGGACCAGAAGTCTGAAACACTGCATACTACCCTGTTTCCCCAAAAATAAGACCTACCCAAAAAATAAGCCCTAGGAGGATTTCTATGCATTTGTGGTATAAGCCCTAGTGTGTCTTCTTGAGAAAAAATAAATATAAGACAGTGTCTTATTTTCGGGGAAACACGGTACTTGCTGATCATTTCAAGGACTGGAGTGCTGGATGAATGAAATTTCCAGAAGTTGGTGGACAAGGCTTCTGTGGTTTGAGTAATTCCTTGCTTCTCCCTGAATGGACTGAAAGTAAATACTGTGAACCCACCTCCCACCAAGCAATACCAGAAGAGAATCCGGAATTATGTAAAAATAAAGGGAAACTGGAAAAACATTTACTTACTCCATTTATACCCCACCTTTTCCCCCATTTTGGACCAAAAAGCAGGGGGGGGGGGGGGGGGGGGGAAGAGCCCTGGCCTCTCTCTCCAGACAAGGGCAATGTCCCAAAAGGGTATTCTCACCAGGCAAGGATTCCCCCTGAATGTGCCCCAGCAACTGAGCCCCATAAGAATATGGGCAGGTTTGAAAGTTTAGCTCCAGTTTGAAGATGCGTGAAAATAGGGATTGGGGGAAGTCACTTTTTGCAGGCAAAGACTTGTTTCCAATTATCTCGAAGCTAGCAGGGATTCTAGACTAAAGGGGGGGGGAGCTGGATTGAGCTAAATTACTTTCTTCTGTGATCTCCTGGCCTTTCTGACCAGAGTTCTGGCTGAGCGAGCATCTTCAATTCTATGCTTTCTGGGAGGGATCTTTTTTTTTTTTTAAGGAGAAGGTGTGAAAAATCCCACAGGGGCCATGTAATTCTCTCTCTTTTTTGACTATGCTCCTTGCTAAGAGTAGCACACTTAAACTGCAGGGAGAAAAGAAGCAGCGTTTCGAAGGAGCAATACCGTTTCGCTTTTTATTAGAAATGCAAATGAGACTGTAGCTCAGTGGTAGAGCATCGGATTGGCATGCAGAAGTTCCCCAGTTCGATCCCCAGCATCTCCACTTAAAAGCATCAAGGGGCAGGTGATCTGAAAGAGCTTTGACTGAGACCCTAGAGAACTGTTGCCAGTCTCAGCAAATGATACTGACACTGACAGATCAAGGCTCTAATTCAGTAGAAGGCATAAGAGCCAGTTTGGTGTAGTGGTTAAGAGCAATGGACTCTAATCTGCAGAACTGGGTTTGGTTCCCCACCTCCCCACTTGAAACTAGCTGGGTGACCCTGGGCAAATCACAGCACCCTCAACCTAAAAATAAGCATAGCTCGCCACCTAGTGGTGCCAAAAAGAGCTGCAGCTTCAGCAGCCAAACAGTCCCTTCCGGGATCTCCTGGCTATTCCACACACAATGCCATATTAATTAATAATTAACTTTAGTAGAAGGCAGCTTCATGTGTGTTCGTTACAGCTGGCTTAAAAAGGCATTGTTAAGCAAGAGGTCAGTGTGTTCCACAGCTTAAGCCATGTTTTCTCAGACATCTGTTGAACTCTGTTCAATGGAACCTACTCCTGGGTCAAGCATGCACATGATTGCAGGCTTCAAAGAAGAGGATGAGGTGTCAAAGCTCATAGTCAGGTACAGGTGGGAGTTAAGAACTATTATCACCAGGACCTGCCAGACGGTTCGTCCTTGCTTTTGGAGATCGACCTTTCCTAATCCTAGAGAGCCAGTTTGGTGTAGTGGTTAAGTGTGCGGACTCTAATCTGGGAGAACCGGGTTTGATTCCCCAATCCCCACACCTCCACTTGCACCTGCTGATGTGACCTTGGGTCAGTCACAAGCTCTGGCACAGCTGTCCTTGAAAAAGAGCAGTCTGTGTCAGAGTTCTCTCAGCCCCACCCACCTCACAGGGTGTCTGTTGTGGGGAGGGGAAGGGAAAGGCGTTTGTAAGCCACTCTGAGACTCCAAGTGAAGGGTGGGGTATAAATCCAATCTCTTCTTCTCTTCTAATTTTTAACTTTTGGGCTCTTAGAGAAACAAAATCAACTCTGTTGTTCATGTACGTAAGTTAGTTCTGCGTCTCTGTGCCAAATTATGGAATTTTTCCACTATGTATTAAGCAGCAAGATCACATAGCTGCTTAAACTTCACTACCGTGGCATGTTGCTGCATTCAAAAAATACAGCTCAGTTTGTAAAATTGTATATCTTTCCTTTTGTGTGTGTGGGTTTTTTTTTTAAGTGAATGTTATATGTATTTTATATTTTTATACTGTACATTTTGTAATAATTATTTTGGAGCCCCTTGCTGAAGTGTTTGGATTGCTCTGGCTGGATGCCGTAATAAAAATTTCATTTGTTCACTATGGTGGAAAGTGCCGTTAAGCCGCAGCTGACATATGGTGACCATGTGAGGTGGTTGGCCATTGACTGCCCCTGCACAACCACCCTGGACTTCCTTGCTGGTCTCCCATCCGGGGGCTGACCCCACTTAGCTTCTGAGATTTGACAACATCACGCTCGTCTGGGCCATCCAGGTGAGAGCAAAAGAAACCAGAAGCCCCACAAAGGTAGGATTTGAACCCATGTATGCAAAACACAACAGATTAGCAATCCATCGCCTTAACCACTTGGCCACTGTGTCTACTTCATCCTAGCAAACTTCATACAGGTCACTGGGGCAGGAAGGGAGCCAACCTTGAACACACCAAGGGCCATAAATCATGGCTCTTACTTGGCTGCATTGCAAATTCTGATTTTTTTTTTAAGTTTATGATCTAGCTTTCTAGCCTACAAAAAAAAAATACTCATGCCTCCAACAACAGTTATTGAAGGTGAGCAGAAGTTCTTGAGAAACTGGTTCTCCCTCCCTTTGCTATCAGAATAACTCAGGGCTTTTTTGGTAGAAAAAGCCCAGCAGGAACTCATTAGCATAATAGGCCACACCCAATAACAGAAACGCATTAAGCATATGCAGCCACACCCATGAGAGCATAGCTCATTAGCACATTAGGCCACACCCCCATGTTACCAGAAGTGTGGTCATCCAGCCACACCCACCTTTTGCTTCTTATTCTGTTTACCTCGTTTGTTGTCAAAACCCAGGGCCTTTTTTGTAGCAGGAACTCCTTTGCATGTTAGGCCACACACCCCTAATGTAGCCAATCCTAATGAGTTTCTGATATTGGGTGTGGCCTATTATGCTAATGAGTTCCTGCTGGGCGTGGTTAACTTGGGAGCCAGCCGGAACTCCGTTCCTGTGCGTTCCTGCCCAAAAATAGCCCTGAGAATAACAATTCTGTCCGGAACTGAGTAGTTTAAATTCCATATTCCTTCACGTATTTGGGGCTTTGTACCAGAAAGTGTACAATAAACAAGACTTTCTTAAAGATTTGTTATATATGTTCGCAGGGTGAGGGAGAGTTCAGTGTTAAACATTTTTTAAAACCTGTCATGGAATGAGTCACAGATCAGAAGCAAAAGAGTAGCTGAATGTTTTCATCAACCTGGATAAAGCTTGGAATTTAGAGAAACTGAATTTAGTCTGAAGAAACTGGTAGTTTGATATAAGGCTATAAGATTGTTGCGGTATCAGAGTGGGGCTGGTCTTCACAGTTGGCTAGTAGGAAATGATGTTTGGCTACCAAGTCCAGCTGCCGTTCGTGGACCCTCTGACACGTTTATCTGGTTTCCTCACCTTCCTAAAGGCCGTACTGAGCAACACACCCATGCTTGAATTTGTTTTTTTCTATTCTACAACACATATTTTGTCAGGCCCACAGGTCATCCCGGCTACCAAAGAGCAATGTGAAACATCTTCTGGATAGAATCCCACAGAAATCCTCTCCGAATTAGGGATTCTAGGAGATGGATCCGCGTTGTACTTTTGTGCAAATGTACTTCTTCACCCAAAGAGTGATTAACACATGGAATTCACTGCCACAGGAAGTGGTGGCAGCTACAAGTATGGACGGCTTCAGAAGGGAACTAGATAAGCATATGGAGCAGAGGTCCATCAGTAGCTATTAGCCACGGGGTATAGATAGCGGCTCTGGGGCAAGTGATGCTCTGTCTTCTTGGTGCTTGGGGGGGGGTCAACAGTGGGAGGGGTTCTGATGTCCTGGCCGCACTGCTGGACCTCCTGATGGCACCTGGTATTTCTGGCCACTGTGTGACACAGAGTGTTGGACTGGATGGGCCTTTGGCCTGATCCAACATTGGCATCTCTTATGTCGTGCCCTGCCCTGCCCCACCCACATACTCACCTGGGTGATGACAGAGGATTTGATCGGCCGGATCTTGTTCCATACTCCCGTAAACTCACTGGACTTCTCCCCCGGAGCTCCCTTTTCCGGGAGTGGGGGGAAAGCTTCCAAGTAAGTGGGGATGTAGGCCTCATCCTCTGGGACACCACCTGCCCAGAACAGAGAAAGACAAACGGGCCCTTCAAGGGGAAGAAAGGACTTTGAGGCAAAGAGTTCTGTTTTCTCCCATCAAGTTGCACCTGACTTATGGTGACCCCGTAGGGTTTTCAAGGCCAAGAGACTTCAGAGGGAGTTCTCCATCGCCCGCCTCTGGGTACCAGCCCTGGTGTTTATTGGTGGTCTCCCATTCAAGTAGGAGCCCCGGGCGCGGTGCACACGCTCATTGTTACCTCGTGTTTCTTCATCCCTCAGGCCGCTTCGGTGCTCAGCAAAGCTCTCGGGTGTTAACACTGCGACCGAGCTCATAGTTTCAAACCCAGATTTGCGCGTTTCCGGTATTCCACTGTTTGAGGAAAGGGAGAAGAAAAGGAGAGGCACTAAGATGGGGAACTCCCTATCGCACGCGCCCCCCATCAACATAGATAATATACAAGACATTTTTACCTCATACTTCCTCTGAAAAGAGCTCTCTCCCTCATCCTTTGTTTTATCCTTACAACAAGCCTGTGAGGTAGATTAGGCCAAAACAGACTGAGTCAAGATCATATGTGGCGCTCCACGACAAAACTGGAATTGGAATCCAGGGTTCCCCAGTTCTGCTGAGAGCTGGTATAGTGGCTAACATGTCAGATTAAGATCTGGGAGACCCTGATTGAAACCCAACCCCCCCCCCCACTCTGCCATGGAAGCTTGCTGGGTGATCTTGGGCCAGTCGCGGCCTAAACCTACCTCACAGTGCTGTTGTGCAAATAAAATGGAAAAGCAGGTTATAAATGAAGTAAACAAAAGCAGTGTTTGCACTGTATCTCTCCAGCATCCAGCCAGCCTTAAGTCTATATAGTTTGAACTGAGCTGCCCACCTTGGGTTACATTTGCACAAATGACTATTGGCATTCCCTGAAGATAGATCCGGGTGCTCAGCTGTGTTGGTCTGAAGCAGTAGAATAAATTTAGAGTCCAGCGGCACTTTTAACACCAACAAAGGTTTATTCAAGGTGTGAGCTTTCCTGTGCAAGGCACACTTTTTCTGTTAAGTGCCCTCCAGGCGCCCTCTACGCCTGATAGGAGATAATTAAGATTCTGTTACTTCCCACAATTAGAAAAAAAACACCTTTAGACATTTATCTGCTACCGTGACATATTTATTGCTTTGCAACTGGTGGCGTGGGTTTTTTGTGTGTGAAAAATTACAACTGTTGACCTTGTAACCTTAGCTTGCTATTTAGTTTTTCACTTTGCATAACTTGAACGTCATCATGTTACACGTTAATTCACTATTAAATCCCTGTCTATAAGTTTAGAACCTCATCTGCCATTTCAATGGATTTGAAAAAGTGTGCCTGGCACACAAAAGCTCATACCTTGAATAAACCTCTGTTGGTCTTAAGGTGCCCCTGGACTCTAAATCTGTTCTATTTGTAGTCCTGTACGGGATTCCTTCACATCCCTCTCCTCTCTCACACACAGGCCCACGTGTATTCAGAGAACCTGTGTCTAGGATCGATAAGAGCCCCAAAGTTGAGGGCATGTGCTTTTGCGGGGGAAGTCACCACTACTGGGACTAGGCAAACCGACGGCCTGAATTCGGCATACGGCAGCTTCATTTGTTCCTCGCCTCTGTCCTTAAGGAGCCTCGCATTAATTGAACTCGCACAAAGATCCCTCTTGAGTTCCTCTCTACAAAGAACACAATACCTCTCCGGTGATCAGAAGCACCATGAGAAGAGATGGGAGAGCCACTTCTCTTTGGGGAAGCTTAAGGTAAACACATTCTTGGGATTCTGGGGATGTGCTCTTTCATGCAAACTCTTCTGTGCAAGAGAAATACGGGCATTAAACTGAAAGCCAACCGATCCGTGCAAGCATAGCCCTGGGCACCGGGGGAGGCCCAACAATCTGCCTTGTGCCCACAGGGAAGCCAATCATTTGAGAAGATCGATATGCCGCTGAAGGCTAGAAGTGTGGCTGCTTCAGTGATTCGTGGCACTGCCGGGAGGAAGCGGTACTGGTACGATCTCAGGAAATGCGCCACACCCCACAGCTTGGAGCTACTACGGATAAATAAACTGCCCAAAGCACTTGCTGTTCTCTGGTTTTATTGCTCGGCCACCATCCCTCCTGAACTTAACCGCGATAAGCACACTCACGCACATGCAAAGCAGGGGAACTCCCAGAAAGCTTAGAAACCGCACGCTGGCCCTCTCGTTTTTTATTTAGCCCCAGAAGCTGAACTGGCCCTTGTGAACGCAAGGCTGTCTCGCTCAGGGATTAACGCCGATGGCCAAGATGCGGTACTCTTCCTCGGGGCCTGGCCTAGAATTTACTTATATTTTATTTTATTTTTCATTTGTTCTATTTATATTCCGCCCTCCCCGCACAGGCAGGCTCAGGGAGGCTTACGACAGGTTAAAATACAACACGATAAGTACAATAAAACCTAGATGCGTTAAACAAGACAATAATATAAAATTCAAACAAACCAGGTGTTTCCTTCCAGATGCTTAAAAATCCTGGAACGCCACCCGCCCCGGCTGAAGATATTGAGAGCATCCCTGAAGCTTTGAGCTGGCGAGAGCTTTCGTCAAAACAAGATCCCCCCCCCCAAGAACCCAGCCCTCCTCTGCCAAGAAGGGGAACAAAACCCACCTGCAAAATGGTCAAATGCCAGAAGGGTCCGTCCTGAACGAGGCTACCTGTGACGCTTCAGCGTGACGGCGGCTTTGGTCCTGCTTTAAAAAAAAAAAAGGATTGCAGGACGTCAGGACCGCTGCGAGGAAGGGCGGCTGCTGACACCCAAAATCTAAACACGGAAACCAGGCAATAGCTTATAAAGACCAATCAAGACACACAGAAATTGCCCATAACACCTTCTATAGAACCCGGTAAGCAGGACAGGGCGGGGGAGAGACGCTTCAGTTCAGGATCTTAGCGACTCTTTTCCTGTAGAGAATTGGATGCCAGGTGGGGCTGGGTTCAGATCAACTAGCAGTCTGCACAGGATGCAGGGAATCAGGACCTGAAACATCTCCCCTACCCAACTTTTGGGTGCAACATCCAGATGAATGAAGAGCTCTGGGGAACTCCCAACGCTTGCATCCCGTTGTGTGCAGATCAGGTTGGTCCCAATAGCTCTTCGGGATTTTGCTCTAGGCCAGCATGAATGCCTGCGAGGGTAATGCCGAAACACTACTTGCTATCTCCTCCTCATTGTGACCAGCTCAGAAATGCTTTGCTGGGGTCTTAATAGAGAAACCCAAATACACAACCTTTTGGGTTTAAGAAAGCAAGGCTTTTGTCCAGGGCTCAGATCCCCGCATGGCTCCTGTTCCTTCTGTGTTGCCCGAGAAGACTTTTGGCCCAGAACTGTAAGTCTACAAACAGCCACTTTCCCAGGGTGAGTCTTTTCACACGAGACAAGCGATTGCAGAAGCAGTTTTGTTCTAGGCTGCAAATGCTTAGAGTAAGTAGCTCAAAGGCTAGTAAAGAGCTCGTGGGCTAGAGTCATGGAATCGCAGAGCTGGGAAGGGCCACGCAGGGCACCTAGTCCAACCCCTTGGGGCTCAATGCAGGATCATCCTAGAACAGGTATGTCCAACAGGTAGATCGCAGAGGGGTCAGAGGTAGATCACCACGCTCCCTCTAAGCTGTGGAGTCTTGTGAGCAAAAATTCTACTTTGTGAGCTACTGGCATTAAAGTTGTGAGAGAGTGATTTGGCCACTGCATGAATTAGTTTGCTCAGGAGCCATCCTTCCTGAGCTAAGACAAAAATGTGTGAGCCAGAGGCTAAAAAACTGTGAGCTAGCTCACACTAACTCAGCTTAGAGGGAACTGTCACCAGCAGAGGTCATTTCAGGGGGGATCGCGGGGGATCGCAGTTCCCCCGGGTGAGGTGCAGGAGGCGGGGCACACGACGAAGCCCCGCCCCTTCTTCCGGCCACCCCCTTCTTCCAGCCTCATTCTGTTGCAGAAGGAGGAAGAAGCAGGAGGGTAAGTTGGTGGCCGAGGCCACTCCACGTGGCCTCTGCAAGGACTCCCAGCCCCATCCAGGAGCTTCCCCGAGGTAGCTGTGTTAGTCTGTTGCTGCAAAATAGTCCAAGAGTTCAAATAGCACCTTTAAGACTAACAAATAGCACCTTTAAGACTAACCTTTAAGACTAAGACTAACTGAGTGGTGGGTGTGGCCTTATGACACACTTCCGGTGATGGCAGGGGGTGTGGCATATGCTAATGAGTTATGCTAATGAGTTCCCCTAGCTCTTTTTCTACGAAACGACCCCTGGTCACCAGCCCCACTTGGTCTCCTGGTTTGCTGGACAGGTGTTTGGGATTCCCTGAGACTGGCCCTCACGCAATATTCACCCGACTTCAAAAAGCTGGTGGATGAAATGCAGGCTCAGACGTCTCACTAATGAGCAAAAGCGAAGTTTTAAAGATTGCGCAAGGTCAGCCTGGATCAATACTTGACCTACATTTAACACAAATAACTCTGAAAAAAAGTTAAAGAATGTTATTGAGACAGTTAAAGAAAGTTATAACTCAGTAAAAAATAAAAAAACGCTCGCCGTTCTTTCTGGATCTTCATCTCTCTGTTTTGTTT